GTACAATCATGTGATATTTATTGAAGATCAAAAACTCCTAATCATTGATCTTATGGACTTCTCTAATCATTACTTATTTTGGAACAATTATGGTCTTCTCTTTCTATGCATTTTATTATAGATCTTCAAATCTTAGATTTGTGTAATTTTATATTTGCAATAATAGATCATTTTACTAAGATGGTATATTTTGTACCATATACAAAATCTATTATAGGTAAAAAATAAAAAAAAAAAAAAAAATGGCTATGCTTTTGCTTGACAACAGCTATTGTTATTATGGATTGCTCAAAGATATTATATTGGATAGGTGGACTTAATTTGTATCAAGATTCTAAAAATTCTTTTTTAAGATTTTAAAGGTGGATATAAAGTTCTCTTCAATTTTCCATCCTCAAATTAATAGACAAACGGAATGGATGAATCAAGTTTTGAAGTAGTATTTGAGGTGTATCATCAACTATTATCAAGATGATTACTTAATTCTTTTGTCATTGGTAGAATTTCTATATAATAATTTGATATATTTTTTTATTCAATAAATACTTTTTTTGCCAATTATGATTATCATCCACACCTTGATACTTTTGTCTTTTTAAAAGTTGATAATCCTATGGCAAAAGATTTGGCCATTTATTTGTCAAAACTTCATGGAATAATAAAGGCGTAATTAAAAGAAGTTCAAGAACAACAAAAGAGTAATGCAGATGCCTATCACAAAAAACAACCACAATTCAATGTGGATGACAAAGTATAGGTACTTTGTTGCAATATCAAAACTACTTGTCTTTGTGACAAGTTAGACTATCGTAGGCTTAGACCTTTTCTTATTTGTAAACAAGTCAATCTTGTTACTTATCAATTACATCTATCAAAGTCTATAAAGATCTATCTCGTATTCCATGTGTCTCTTCTTGAGCCATATAAAACAATGAATATCTCAAAAAAAAGACAAATTCTACTTCTACTTATAGAAATAGATATTAATCAAGAATTTGAGGTGGAAGTAGTTTTAGATTCAAGGCAATGCCAAAATAGATTAAAATATCTTATTTCTTGACAAGGATATGGTATTAGTAAATGCATATGGAAATCAACAAAAAAATCTTATAAATGCAAGAAAGAAGATTGAAGCTTTTTATCAATGATATCCATCAAAATTAAGATAAAGAATACCAAATCTTTACTATTATAAGAATAAGATTTTTTTAAAATATTCTATCTTTTATTCTTATTTGTAACTTTATATATTTGTGACTCTAAAGAAATAGAGAATCAACAAGTAGTAGATTCAAGACAAGAGCAATTATTTATTGACTTATCAAATAAGATATTATGATTGTCACAACTTTCAAGACCACGTAATCAAGATGAAGATCCTCAAGAATAATATGTTCTTCCTCAAATAACATATAACATGTTTGATATTATGACCTTGAAAGAGACTCCTAATGTTTAGTGATTTTATTAGAGATAGAAACAACTCTTAATAGTGTTTCAAATGTTTTATTTGAAAAGAGTTATGAAGGCTTCAATAATAATCAAATAACAGGATGGTCTATTTGCCCTAGTATGGGACACAATCAATTGCTAAGAGGACCTATCAACCATCTTTAAAGAGAACAAGGATCAAAGTATGTGGCAAATATAATTTGTCATATCTTGGATTTTCTTAACATATAATGACCATTCTTTGTAGAATTTGTTTCTAAAAGATGGAATAATATCACAAACATATGTATTTATTTTAATATATATATCTATATGATTAATTAGAAGTAGATAAAAGTAGATTTATTTCATAATATTTCCTAGAAAAGGTTCTTAGAAGCTTCATAATTACTACTTTGATTTTACATGTATTTGTAGTTAATTGGTAGATTAGAAACTTTGTCAATAAATTAACCATATGTTAATAGCTTATAGAATAATCTAATTATGTGGCGCACATATAGAAAACTTGCCTTACAAGTTAAGATATGTATCTTGCAAAGTCAATACGTTTTGGAGGTCTTATAAGACCACCACGTAGCTCCTAATTAAGAGTATATATGGATTTAAGAATGAAGCTTTCTTTACTCTTGTTAATGCCTTTCTAGTCCTTGGTCTTATTTCAAGGCTTTTTAGTCTTTTTGTTTATGGCAATAGCCATTTTAGTTTGATATTATATCATCTTTGAGTGATTTTTGAGTCTTTTTTACTGACACAAGAGTGTATTGACATTTTAGTTCTTTGAGGTTCATGTCCTTGACAATATACAATGTTTTGGTATAAATGAGATGTATTTATAAATATTCACCATTAAAAAAAAAGTAGTAAAAAAAATACATGATTTTAATAATATATACAAGTATATATTTGATTTAAATTTCAAAAAATGTTGATTTGAGAATGGATTTACACTTATTACATTTAAGGCATTTTTTATGTCATTTAGAGCAAATACACTTTGAATCAAAAAAGAAAAAAAAATACTACATCTAAACAAAAAATAAACACACTTAAAATTATGTAGTTGAATATTAATTTCAAAAGAAACGTTTATTTTTCCTACTCTCCATTCTTCAGCCTTTCAATTAACATTGAACGCTTGAATACAAGGTTATTGTGTAGTTTCTTTTTTTTCTTTTTTTATCAAGGAAGTTAGATTTTTTACTTTCATTACTCTTAGTTCCCATGTTTGGAATCCTCGATCCAAAACTAAAACCACTTGGGCTGCCGGCAAACGAAAAGGGTGACAAAATTTGACATCGAGAAATCTGCGCAGGTTTAGTACAATTTCATGGTCTCACCAGCCAAATTTGATCTCATTGTATGGTGATTGCAACCACACGACCACCCACGAATGAGGTCAGCAGCTTTTTCAACTCCGAGCTCGGCAATGAAAGACGACGCCGGACTACTACGAGATGCCGAATATATATATTATATATTTGACGTTCGCCATTCATTCATTCATCTAACTCACCGACGCTGCCAACATTCAATCACTAATATGGGAAGAGCTGTAGATTCCGTTGCAACAATACAGTGACAGGGAGGAGCGTTGGATGATATGGGCCAATCAATCGAACTATGTGCGTGATGCACGCACCTGGTGATTTGATCGATCAAGTTCCAGATTAATATCACTGCGAACTGCTGGCCCACACACGGCAGGCAGGCAACACTGCTTCATCAAATCTTACACTGCTTGCTTTGTAATCTCAACTTCCGTTAATCTGCAACCCACCTCGTCAAAGAACCTGGTCTTGCACGTTTCAATCTTGCTCTCGAACCCATCGGATTCATAGGTCTACACATGTTTTTCATGCTGCAAGAGAGAGAGTCCCCCGTTTGTCGCCATCGAAACAACGTCCTCGAAACGCTAGCTTACCACCCCACAAATTCATGCGATGAAGAAGACCCAACAATTGTTGTAGATCCTAATTGGGTCGCGTTTGACAGATTCTTCCGTCATTCATCTAACGTCGCATCTTGACGGGCCCGGTTGTTATAAGATGGCAAGGATTTTGTTGAATTTTATTTTTATTTTTATTTTATATGTATCAGAATGTTTCTACAGAGTGATCTTGATGGTGTGAACGCAGAATCCCACTAATCCATTATTATTCAGTTCTTGAGAATTCTAAAGTTGTAATTTGTTTCATTTGAACAATTTAGAAGGAATGGAACAAAGCAAAGTTTGCAAGTTGTGTTACCATTTAAGTATTTTTTTTAAAGTTTCAATTAGAGTTTTGGAATTGAAGGTAGCTTTTAGGAAAGAAAAGACATGTGTAGGGCATTTCAAGTTCTTTGAAGCTTTGTTTTGTCAAAGGATACGAGCTTGGAAATAATAGATTCTTTTCAACTAGTTTGGGTTCATTTGAAATTACCATTTATATTTAATACATGGAAAAATAAAAATAAAAAATGTGAGGAATTAGTTAATAAAATTATTCATCTGACAAAATCAATAATAGGTTTATATGATGAATAAAAATATATTTAACTTCTTACTTTTTTGATGTTCCATCTGTGTTGTTGTTTTTATTATTTTTCCATATTTCAAGACCAAGTATAATTTATAATTGTAATACATTTTTATTTATTATCAACATGTCTAAAGTTCTACTAGCATATGTAATAAGTTATTTAACTTGTGATATTATCAATATATACCAAAATAATAATAATAATAATAATAATAATAATAAAATGATATGATTTTAAAGTACATGTACATTCTATAATAAAAATTCATAGTAATTTAGTTGAAACATTAGCAGATTGGGTTTTGCTAATACTAGCACAAACTATCCTAAACTTGTGTTGCATACTACAATATATTTTAAGGAGCACTAAAATATACATCTACAAAGAATGTGTATCTTATCCATTGTGGTGTGAATAAGCAATATTCCATAAAGTGCATTGTGATATGCAACACAATTTTGGAAAGCTTATGGTGGCATTAGCAACATCCTAATGTATTACCAAATAAATTTATATTCTAAAAAATATTTATAGATATTAATCCTCATAATACCACCAAAAACATTACTAAAATACAAAAGCTTGTAAACATTAATTTTAAATTTAAATATATTTTTATTCATCATAATTTATATTGTATCTAAACAACTATGTTTTGAGTTTCAATTATCTAAAAATAGAAATAAATCATTGAAAAAAACATATTATTTTAATGCATCTTGTTGTCTTTATTATTACATTCTTCCATGAACGTCTTTAAAATAAAAAAACGTGGTTCCAGTACCCAGTAACTCAGAAGCTCAAAAATCTTCCACTTTCAAAGCCACTATAAATTTTCTAGAAAACATTGAGTACCATAGTTAATTATTCTTTAGTTTCATCCTATGAGAGAGGCAAGTAGCCTTTGGATGGATGTACATCCATCCATTCAGAAACATTCGCAGCATACATCCTTTTTACAGGAGGTAACAACGATATTACAACGACGTAATTAATTATTTACCCTGACGAGGTTTTTGAGCCGTGGTCGTGTGTTTCCAGGGACCCTTGCTAGAGAGACGATGTGGCCTCTGGCTATGTCGTCTCCCGACCTTGAGCCTGCTCTCGCAATCGTCGAATTTCGTCGTGTTCTCACTCCCTGCTTCACGCGACCGGGGTAGTTCCACTCTGCGTCAGATTAGGTTTCGATTGCATCATTTCTCGGCGTTTTTGGTGAAGTATAGCGTTGGATCTAGAGCGTATAGGACGACCTACGTGTGCGGTGGCGTTCTCGCGGAGAGGTGGTGTGAAGCGAGCATTACAATATTGTTGGATGTGTTGCGATCTCAGCGTTTTTTCGGTTTTTTTGTTTTTTTCTTTGTTTGTTTGAATAGAAGTTTTGTTACATAAATGAAAATCTTGCTGTTCTTGTATAGCGAATAGGGGCTTCCTCCTTTTGCACCCGATCGCGTCAATAAGCTGATATTAGTGTCAGGATTTTGAGTCTCTATTTGATTCTTAGTCTCTGCTCTTTTTCTTTTTCTTTTTTCTTTTTGACTCGCTGCGAGGTTTTCGTTAAAATGTGGAACATTCACTTGCTTCAGGGCCAAACTTACCGGACAATGCACATTCTGCTTGAGATGCAGGTGTGCCTGCAAGGGGAGATTAGGTTACTGCACTGTCGGAGCTTTTTTTTGAGCTGGTAAGTGATTTCGATGCGATCGCATGACTTGGTGATCTAAAGGGGGGGGTTTCACGATGATTATTCTGCCGGATTTGCAGTGGAGAATGTGAGTGATGATAGTAAAAATGATTCAATTAGTTGTGTCATAGTAATTATTATGACTGGACTTGCCACAATCGGCCCTCACTAATGCTACAAAGCATTTGTAAAACCACACGATGATGTGACTATGAGCTGCGAACTTGTTTTTCTCTACACAATACCTCCGAACTGAACTGTCGACTCCTGCCTATCGAGTTGAAGCTTCCTAGCATGAAGCCGTTTGAAGGTTGCATCGTTTTGTGCCTCTTTGTATCCGAATTTGATTCAGGGTTAAGGTTTTTGTCCAGGTCGATCATTTCATTCAGTTGTAGTGGGGCATTTAGATGACAGAATTGGACATCGAGATACAGAACCTCCTCAGTCTTTTGAGTGATGTAATGGCCTCCTACAATGAAATTGTGGGATGTTTGCTGTTGCTTCCTTCATTCTCATTAGATCCCAATCCTGTGCTCCTGTTTTTTCGCAGATGGACTGATTGCGTCAGCTGTGAGGAAATCTACTCAACATGGAACCTGTCGGAGACACAGTTGTGAAGCCTAGCCATGCAGAGGCTTTTGCGGCCCTCATGGAACCCGGCAACGGCGACCCGGGATACATCTCGATGCGTCGTCTGTTACTCTATAGAAAAGCTCTCTCTAACAAGCTTGTTCGGCAGAAGTGGGAGCTGAATGGAAACGGATATGTCGCCTTCCATGACTACATACGCCAATTAAAGAGGCTCCAGAATTCTCAAAACTCGCAACCTGCTAGCCCAACCAGCACACAGGCTGCCCTCGACAGTGGCCCCTGGGCAGCTTACGAGAGAGGAAGCTGGAGCTCCAGTAGAGGCGGGTCAATGAGCGAGTCTGGGGCTCAAGAGATCCCATCCGAACCCGGCTACTCCTTCGTGGGCATGCATTGCGTTTTTGATGAGTGCAAAGCCTCGGTGAACATAGTAAAATTTGGACATATGAGCTCTGATCTTCTGGCATATGGTGCTTCTAACGGTCTCATAACCGTATGCAGTGTTCCACAGATCCTGCACCGAATGACTGGGCACACTAAGGAAGTGACAGACATCGACTGGTCGTCGAATAATCAGTATTTGAGTTCCTCGTCACTGGATAAGAGTGTACGAGTTTGGGATGTTCAGAAAGGAATGTGCCTTAGGGTAATCTACGGCACAGCTCCCCAGCTCTGCATTAGATTCCATCCTGTAAATAATAACATTCTTATCGTGGGGAATGGAAACAAAGAGATAACGGTATTCAACTTCAGCACGGGGCGCTTGATTCATAAGCTGGCGCTCGACAGCAACGTTACAGCTCTGGATGTCGACCATTCGGGCGCCATCCTGTTTGCTGGAGATGCGAGGGGGACTGTCCACAGCGTGACCATAAAGATGCACCACGGCAACTTTGTCATGCGGAGCACTCATCGATCCAGCTTGAAAGGGCTGATGCACAAATCCGCCACTACAACGATACAGTTCCGAACTTTCTCGCGGCTAGCAGCTGGGCCAGTGCTGTTGGCTGCGACGCAAGATGGCCTACTTCGGTTCTTCAGCGTGGCTCTTCAAATCGAAGGCTACCTTTCGCTTAAATGCTCTCTGCAGCTGCCACCAAGAGCCAGAAACATTCGAGCATCTTTCTGTCCGCTGCTCTCGCTTCAAAAAGGTGAGTTTATTGTGTCTGGACACGAAGATTCAAATGTCTACTTTTATGACTTCACTCGTCCCAGGCACCCTTGTGTGAACAAGCTGCAAGGACATGCTGTGCCTGTTGTTGGGGTGTCTTGGAATCACGGCGAAAATTTGCTAGCGTCCTCCGACTGTGAAGGTTTAGTAATTGTATGGAAACGAGCCAAAATCGCCGGCAGATAACATGTCTCAATTGCTCATACAAATTACCATGTTCTGGCTGGTTATGCTCGTCATTATCTTATTGTTCAATAAGTGCAGAATTTGACGACTTGCTTACATATTATTCATTGCTGTTATTCATGGGCGAGCAATTTCACACTTGCAGCACTGTTCATACGTGCAATTAGTATAGAGCTAGTCGCCGATAACGGTCAGGAGCGCTGTTGACAGCTTCAGTTGGCAGTACCTTTAAAATTTTCATCTTATAGGGGTCAGTGGTCACTGTTCCTCTAATTGACTGTTGAAATTGTAATATAGTGGGATTGAAGATATGGAAGTCTTGTTACTGTAGTGTATGAATGGATCATGAAATTAGAAAAAAAAAATTAAGTATAATATCATAAAATCAGAAAACACAAGCACTTGTTGAAAAAAAACTACATGGGAAAGTGGCGTTTCTTTGAACGCAGAATGTATGATAATCATCAGAAAAAAAATTTAAAAATAAAATAACAAAAAAACAAAAAAAGAAGCCTCAAGCAGCAAAAATCAGCGGTGGTACGTCGAGATCCATAGCGATCAGATATCCTATTGACAAGGTTAAAATGAGCATAACTAACTCAACCTTCATTTCTTTTAAGCAGAAGAGAACTAACCAAGTAAATTCGCATAAACTTACCTCACCATCAATTATGGCGAAGTGTCCGATACCATTAACCATGAACTACATAAAGATATGAGATATGATAGCCCAGTTGGTAAATTAGCCTAGTACACTGTGGTCTTGGCCTAAATAGAAGTCCCGCATGCCAAGACCAGCGTAAATTACACTATAATATAGACTCAGCAAGCTACCCATCATGACATATGTTGCACCTGTGAAGTTGCTCAGAGACGCAGTTAGAAAACTATCCCCAATTTGGATCAAAGCACAACTGAGCGTCGGCAAAACTCTCATCCCTGTTTCACCACATGCATCCCCAAGGATTCTTTGGAAAGGAAGGACCTTCCTCAACACTCAAAAGAACCTCAGACTGAGGTATTCTAAATTATAGTTACTAGCCACGTAAAGCTTCTTGTCCAGAGAACAGAAAGTGATTCGCTTGAGTTGAGAAAGCTGAATCTCAAGCGTTGCACCGAGATTGGACTCGAGAATGATGTAAAGCGATATATTTGCAACTGTCGTCTAGGATGCAGGAACAGCACAGCTTCATGAATTAGTGGCGTATCTCAGACACTGCAAATGATTATCAGCCTGAAAATCGCTTCAATAGTGCTTCACCGCATCCACCAGCTAGTTCACTAGTTCATGAGTTCGGTTGAACAAATCTGGAGTCAGATAATGGACGAAGTTTTTTCGTTCTAGACTGAAAGCACTCAAAGAACGATGCAGCTTTCGGAAGCCGACCACATCCGTTCATCCCTTGGTGCCACTCCTTAAGGTTGCTGCAATGCTCGACACCAGATAACGGACTTGAAAGTGAAAGTTTAAAAGGGTCATCGATTGTAAAAAGTATTGAATTTGTGGCTTTTCTCCGCGCTGTCTGGATTTTCCGGCTGCTGAGATCAAGTGCATTCTTGGGAGAAGGTAGAATAGCGAGCTCCTTCACCTCTGATTGCGTCGCACTCGTTTCAAAAGTAGCTGTAGACAGCAGGTCCTTCAGCGTTTCTGAGGACCTGCACATCACTGTGTCATGTAAATCGAACTTAAGTGATCCTCCGTCCATTTGATGTATGTGTCTGCTAGATAACATTGTGCTGAGCGGGGAGCGGATAGTCAGGCACGGAGTTGACTGATGGAATGAAGCAGCCCGACACTGACGCTGCACTTCAAGAGCCTCACAAAGGGCTTCATTCGATGTGACAATGCTCAGATCGAGGGACTCCAGAAGGCGACTCAGATCAACCCCACTCGTCCAATTCTCCGGCTCCTTCCACTTATGAAGTTTTAGACGACCCTGTTGAGTGGTGCCACCCCAAACAACTCCAACCGGTCTTGGCTTCTCTCCAGCTTCCCCTCTTACCAAAATCAGGCTCCCGGTGTCGCCTTCTAACTCAAAAGCATTGTTGTCATCACTCACAATGAGGAAATCGTTGAAAAAACAGTGCCCTTTGTCGTTGTTGTATTCCAATGCATACGCCAAAATGCAGCCTTCAGTGAAACCAGAGCTTCGGCCGACTTTGATCACATGCTTACCAATCAGGCTGTTCAATGGGGCCTGCAAGTCCACCGATATCACCTCCCCGATTTCCCCCACGCTCTTCACAAATGGACTTATAAAGTTCCTTACATCTAGATTGCTATCAAATGGAATGAAGGCACCATCTGCCCGCACAAATGATTCAGGGTTCGTGCTGGCAAAAACGCCATACCACAGATCATCCCGTATGAAAGTCGTGGTGCGCTCCACTGCACCCAGGTACACTCCTGGTCCGAGATGAGGAGGAAGGGGATGGAACAACTTCTGGACGGGGTGATCGAGACTCACGGCGACGTGTCGATTCGTCAGAAATCCAACCTGGCAGAGACCAGTTCGACTTCGAACTATTGCACTGAGCGTACCATAAAGCTCAAAGCATGCAACCTGTGAGCCTGATCCAATAGTGGCGTCGCCACCTCGAAGACCCTCCACAAGATCGGTGTAAACTGGATCCTGAGGCCGCTGCGAACCCAATAGTGAGAATTCAACGACATCCACATCGCACCATACCCCGCCCGGACCTTCAAGGATCAAGGGAAGCTCCTGGGCCTCTTGTAGCCAGTGCCTGTGCACTTTGCGAGCAACGAAAACAATAATTGCTGGTATGTCGGTCTGCACACCGCCGCGGATGCGAAAACCCAGTGCGGTCCCCAGACTGAAGCATCGTAAAGTTTTGCTGTGAAGGGCTCGGATTGTCATGAGATCTAATAGAGTGGCTGCTTGGTGGCCTCGTGGACGCTTCGATGGACATGACGTTTTCTTTTGTAAGCTGCTGAAGTGGGTGGCCCTTTGCTCCGCACGGCCATTTTGTAACCGGGGTGTTGGCCATACCTCAAAGCGCTCATTGCCTTTAGGACCTCCAGTACATTGTACAGCTGACCCTTTCGTAAGCTCTGACTCTTTTGCGGGTTCCGACTCTTTAGTGAGCACAGATACAGAACCGTCGCCACTTGGAGACTCATACTTATCCATGGCTCATGCTGCGCTTGAGCACACACCGCTGCTTTTGCCTCTCGCCGTGAAGAACTCTACAGTTCAACCTCATTGCCAGCCTTGAGTCCCATACTGCTACCCAACAAATTGAATACAACATAGAATGTACTTTACCGCTGCCACTATCTCGAAGCATCTACGTATTGAAACGGAAAGACTTGAGCAGGTGTGAGCCCCATACCTCCATGACCTGCACTGGAAGCCTCGCCTTACTGACAAAGGGGTATTGTAGACGTCCTGATGCTTGCATACAGCAATATAATTCTAATCTACATGGTCAGATGACTGCGAATTTAGATCATACAAACTATAATCCTCAAGCTACGACCATACCATCAAGTTGGAGCAGAACAATACGCATTGTACACAGATTATGATTCGCAAAATAGCACATGCTGTGTTTGAGTACAGCATCGAATAAAATGGTGTTTCATTTGAATGCATCCGTCCTTTGCGACCATTCTCTACCTGCGAGACACAGATGACCAGGCTCTTATCAGCGCTGAGTACCACGCGCACCACGATTGAAGAAAATTGAAGGAAAATAGCTTATCCTGGAACCCTAAACTCAAGGAGCCTACATCCCATAAATCGGAGCTGAAGGGTCGAACTTCAGGATTGGACAACCAGTATTGGCAGTAAACGCCTGTACAGTGTTAGAGGTTCCACGAAAGAGTCTCGAATACACACCAAATGTTCCAACGCTGCAGACCAAAGCCCAGACACTTACTCTCCTTATGCAATATCAAGCCATCGACCAATCCACATCCACACTTTCTACCGTATCATAGAAGTGACCACGAAAATCTTTGAAGGGAAAGACAAAAGGATAAACACGAAAAAGCTATGTAAAAAAGAGCAACTGGAAGGTTCATTCAAATCTAATCGTTCCTGCAGAATACACCAACTCAGTCCGTAACCTGTGAGCTGGATGCTCTTTATGCAAATGGCGCCCAAATGGCCACCCACCACAACCATAGCATCCGTCTAAAACAACAAAAAAGGACCAACTGGATATCCCGCCCTATAGCACGTAGGAAGAACGCCATAAAACATCGTCGAACTGCTGGACGAAAGTTGAACTCGTGCCACTCAATCCTTCAAACTGAGGAGGAGGGGGGAGGGGGAGTGGGAGAGAAAGAGGGAAAAAAAAAAAAAAAAAAAAAAAAAAAACACACACACACACACATCTGTCACGCAGACTTTATCACTAAAGTGAGCAAACCAATGCTCCATGTCCACAGCTCACTACTCTCAACCGAAGCGTCACTGAGGCAACAGCAAGGGAAGCCGATTACCTCCGAAACACCATCATACCCCAACAGCAACAACGCCGCTCTCGCCCACCCAACCATCCCCTCCCCCCACATACCGTCCCGCCGAATACTCGCCTCAGCACCAAACAACCAAGCGCCCCGCTCAATTACACCCCCGACCCACACACACCCATTCCTCTATATCCCACCCAACCCCGAAAACCCGAGCCCGAGCGAATGCGTCCCACCTCACGAGCTGGGAAACATACTCCCTCTTCCCTGCTCGCGCGTCACAAATTCGGAACCAACGCACACCACCAACCCCAAGGAAAAATAACCACACCACACGCCCACATACCTGTCCTCCCCTAGCAGACTCACGGGAAGCCTGTGCATTTCCCTCATCCCCCGATGATAGACAATTGCCTCCCCACAACAGTAGATAGCGGTGCACAACACAAGCCAAAGGTAGGAAGCAAGAGAAGAAGAGCAAGCAAGAGATTGCAAGAGCGAGAGAGAAAGAGAGAAAAGAAGGAAGGAAGCAAGAACAGACACAGTGTGGAAGAGAGATCGAGATGCACCACCACCACCACCGAGGAGTAGGGAGGAGGAGGACGAAGAGGAGGAAGAGAAGGAGGGCTGTGAGCGAGCGTCGCGTCCGCACGGGGGCCTCAGCAGCGCCGCGATAACGCTCCGCCCAGCCTCTTGCAGCAGGCAGAAATTCTCACTCACACTCTTGCAGGCAGAGCAGGGCAGGCACCACCACTCTCCTCTACAGCGAACTGGCGAACGAGCGAACGAAGACTCACTCGCACAGCCAGCCAGCCAGGCACCACCACTCTCTCTAGAGCGAACGAACGATCGAACGAAGACTGACGCCAAGCCAGCCAGCCACGCCAAGCCGAAGCCAAACCAAGACCAGCCAAGACCACAGCCAAGACAGAACCAGAGCCAGCCCAGCAAGCGAGAAGAAAGAGAGAAGAGAGAGAAACTAGAAAGAGATAGAGTAGAGAGAGAGAGAGAGATTGGGGCAGGGTCGGGCAGCAGCGGGATGAGTGGGTAGGGCAGCAGGGAGGTCCGAGGAATCGCGGGTGGGCGGCCCGGTGACACAAATATATGTACATACATATATCTATAAAGGTGTGTGCGAGTGTGTGTTGTTTAGACGAAATACCGGGGAAGTTGGGGGAGAGAGGAGGGGTAGGGGAACGGTGGTGCGCGGAGGATGGCGCTGTTCGCATCGCTGCTATTTTGCGTTCCCGTGCGCGTTCCCTTCCCGCCTGGCTAGGGTGCCTGCACCCTGACACTTTAGCCATCCTCCACTAGGGTGGCGCGCTTTTTGGTTCCCTTTTGTACGTTCACACCTAGGGAACGAGGCCCTTTTTTTACTTTATTCCCAAAAGGTGAAAAGGTGATTGAGGGGGGTGGGGAAAAAGAAAAAGCGACGTTTAGAAATGGGAACTTGTGCTTTTTTGGTGGTGAAGATCTGACCCCTTTGATATGACATTCTTGTCTTTGCTAATCTAGCCATCGTAAAATTGTAATTAAAAAATACCAAAGTATGTATGAAATTAACACATTATTATGTTAAAATAATTAATATGGTTTATATATATATATATATATATATAAACTTTGGCCCATGTTTTCATTGGAAGTCTTCATTTATTTTTGTTTTTAATGTAAAAATTTGTGATTACATGTATATTTCAAGAGCATGTAACTAGACTAAGTGTGAAATAAATTCAATGTAAGTGCTATTTTGTATGTCTTTTTTTTCTTATTAACTCATTTTTGAAGAAGTAAAATTGCTAAAACAAATGTAGGATTTTCACAATCTTTGAACATCTTTGATATTCTAATCTAAGACAATTCCACTTTTGCGAATGCACTTTTTTTTCAGATAAGAAGCCAATATCTACTTTTAATATTTGGTGTCCAACGTTACAATCGACCAAATCGTTTACATAAAAATGTTGTAAGTTTGAGGTGCCATTAAGTAACCCTTCTTCAAAATCATGACATTGCCAACCTTCTCTGAAAAAAAAAACAAAAACAAAAACAAAACAAAACAAAAACTTGAACACCAAAAGTTTAATTTGCTTTAGGCACCCAAATTATGTTACAACTTAAAAATGTCATAGTGTCTTATAGATAATCACAAAGTGAATTCTTTTTTGATAACATTGTAACATGGGTGTTATGTAGTTTATGTTGACTAATGCTCTGCAGAAATGTAAAGATGGTACATAATTGATGAGTATCGTTCCATAGCGAGAGATTAAACTGCAAAAGTTTTGTTTCGGATTAGGCAATAATACCCTCAAAAACCACCTCTCCAACATTCAACAAACAATTTTAAAGAGAAGATTTGTATTCGTAATTGGCAGTTGGTGGCACCACTTGATCACAATTTATGGAGCTTCAATCAACCAATAATTCAGACTTGTGCTGCTTTTAAGGCTTGTTTTGATTGACTGATCGACGACGACTCCTCGTACCTCTCGATTCCATCTTGTCATCGCCATAGCCAGCGATCTGTGCAGCCCAAAATCGATGCTGAATACTTAATGCGACTCAGCAAAGGAATCGCGAGGGGCATGGAGGGGCCCGATTCCTGGTGAGTGAATAAGTGAGTGAGTTGCAATCGTTTCTTCTCGAGATGCCGATGATAACTGCCGTTGATGAGTGGGGAGGCATTGATTTTTGCCTTTTACTGCTCACACTTCAATACAAGATCTGGGAGGTATGTTGCAGAAACTTCTGCAAAGACCGTTGCGAAGACCAGCTTCTGGAAGCCTCCCGGTGTTTGAACGGGGTCGATGAGAGCTTGAGGCTTGCCAATCGTTGTCGAAATCGACCTGGAGAGCTAAAGTACGATTAATGCTGTGGTTCATGGACTAGCAACAGCAGCTGTTGTTTTACAACATCCATGTGCTGATTAGTGAGCTTCCTTCCCGAGTCTGCGAGAATATATATCCCTAGAGGTTGACTGGGTAGTGGTTGTTGCGACCGTGATCAGCGTCTTTTCTCCTCCTGAAATTGGGATTTTGTGATTGTGGGTTGAGAAAACATGGAGTCATTGTTGCAGCAATTGCATGCTCTCTCTCTCTCTCTGAGGTACAATGTGTGATGGCTGGCTGTGTGCAGCGCTTCGACACAGGAAAGGTGGGGGGATGGTGACAGCGTCGGAGAAGTCGGAGTTTTCAAAATTGGGGGACCTCGTGAATGGCGTTCGGATTACTGCGCGAGCACGCCATTTGTTCCTGGAGGTGAGAAATACGAAATACACAAAAAGTTGATGCTATGCGTGTTGGTTACAAGTAAGCCAGTTGAAGTGAAGAGTTGATGCCGATGATACCTTCCGCGACCACGATGGAGAGGGACCCTGATATTGCAACTCGACCACGTGCTTGGCTTTTTTCTCCACTGTGTCTGTACGACGGTAGCTCTTGTTGTACGCTACAAGACATGAAAACAGTGTCTGGATCTCCAAGTTTTGCAGAGAATTTGTCGCATCCAAGCTAACCTTTTGTGACGCTTAACATTTTTAGTAAATCCTTTTATATGTATGTACATATATATAGATATATATATATATATATATATATATATATTACCTGATGAAATATTTTCTATGCTGCATAGATATTTATCCACCTCCAGGACAGGGGCCACTCAAAAACTACCTTTAAAGTTGTATCTTGTAAGTAGGGAGGATGAATGAGATTAGTAGATTTTTCGCTTGATAAATATGTATTATTTTACATGTGATCACTTATTTTGGTAGTACAAGGGTAATGAACTTAAATGAAGATACTTGAAGCTACAAAGTATCAACTTCCAAACTAAACAGTATGGAAGGATGTATGCTTGGATTCAATGTTTATACAATTGAAGGAATTGGTCTAGTCTATATTTTATTAACAAATTAAAAATTATTTTTTATAAAAAAATTATGTAACATTTTAAATTTTTATACAAACTCTATCACTTATCTACCTTCTTCATCCTTTGGATTTGATAATATCGACCAGCAAAATTAGAATTTAAAGTGAATCAATTGGCTACCAATTTTGAAGAGCCAATTATAAAATACAAACAATATTTACATCTCTGTCAAAAAAAAATCCAGTGAGTCTTACTTTATTTACATACTTTTTCAACTTGAATACTATTTTTTCTAATAAAATGTAGAAATTATCAAATTTAAAATCTTACAAAATCGGTATTACATCTATGCTCAATTCAAAGTAAATAAATAGAACGACTCAAATTATAAAGGATAAAATTATATTTCATCTATTTACTTAAATACTTTTTGCAAAATTTTGTTGAAAAACATTTGAGGGATAAAATTGGCTAAATAGACAATGTAATTTTTTTCATATCTTGGGGAGGTAGAACATCCGTACTCTAAAAACAATTCCAAGTTGATTTCCCATTCCATGAAGGTCGCAGGTGGATGGCAGTTCTCCCCTTGTGTAGCGCGAGAGAAGAGGTGAATATGGGTGGCGAAACCACGACCACGAAAAAAAGACAAAAACTTCTACAATTGTTTCCACCAAATCAGTAAATTAGTTGTACACAAATGTCGATCTTCGACCTCCTAAATTATTTACCCAAACCATATGTATGATACAGCTCATGCGTACAAATTTTCTCAGGGAAATGGCTTGTGTTCCTGCCAAGAAATATACACATACAAACCTTTTCCAAGCCCCTTAAAAGCACTTGCATAAAGTACCCCCAGATCATAGCCATTAATCAATTATTGCTGGCGTCTCCTTCGACCATCTCCATATAACCCGGCAAACTGATATGCTGTGACGTCACTCAGAAGAGAAGCGTTGTTGTGGAAGCTAGCACACCACAGCAAGAACGGCATATCCCACCAATAGTGATAGTTCAGCGAGTTGTACAGCGCCATCTTCCTTGCAATGTCGCTCTTTTCATTAGCCTGCCTCTCGAATATTACTGCACCTGTCGTCATTTTACGCAAGGCAGCGGCCTTAGTAAAAGAATGGACTGCTTACGACCAGCAAGACTGCATTGAAATGATGTTCAGAACCGATAATGAAATCTCTTATGTGTGTATAATGTGTACAAAGCTAAAACAAACCAGGATGACGTTACAAGTATTGGATAACTCTCATAGCGATGCGGTTTGTGTGACATTACATGACAAGACATGAAAGGAGAAAGATCTTGTCATACCCCACTCATTTCCAGTCGCTCGCGCCTTTCTACTTCCAGATTTTGGTGTTTGAGGTCGACTTTTACCGAGCATTTCAACGAGAGAGAGAGACGTAACTGTGGAGATCAACACCACAAGAGGTACACTCTCTTCTGGCTTCACCTAATGCATCACCGACAGACTCCACGTTAGTAACTGCTGTAAAATTTCTACATGAAACTATCTAGCAAAAACACTTCACCACGCACGAGAGAGGAAAACTCAATATTAAACACACACCGATATCTATTCGTACCTCCATAGCACCAGAACTTGTATTGAAAAGGGCAGTAGCTTTGCCCGCTGGAGCATCAGGAGTATACCGAACTAGTGTTACAAATCCAGCCTCCTCCTCCTCAGTTGAGCCATTTACTTGATAATCTAACCGTTTTCCTGGAACTAAAGCTACCTGCCAAAATTCCAGTGCATTCTCAATGCAATTCCACAGCTTCCTGAAGTCACAAATGACCTCAAAACTTAATAACACGACAACATTGCATGCATTCAATCCTCAGCCTTGTCAATCCTTGAAGATTAATAATGAAAGACTAACTTCAGTCGCTAACGAGTATTATGCATTTAAGTGCATTATAAGAAGCAAAACTAATGACCAAATCTTGGCATGCACGAAGAAATTAATAGTTTTGAAGTGTAGGTTGAGTCTTACTGGGTGGCCAACTTTTCCTTCAAGACTGAGCTCGGGCCTCAAGTGCCACTGATTGTCGTCGGCTCTCTTCCGGATAGTTAGTTGGATGCTGTTGTCAAACAATTGCCAATGTCTTGCATTCGATTTGCCTGAATCTGATTTAACTAGTGGTTGAGCTCGACCCAAGAGAGTACCTGCTAATGATATACAAAACTTGAGTGAACACGAGTGAAGCCTTGAGGTACTGAAAATGACGTTAGATCTACAAAAACCGCTGCTTGTGATTTTATAGTTTAAATCGAAGCTAAAATTTCGCTGGGTAAAGAGTCGTCAATGCGGCTATGTTTTAGGAAGTCTCGCTAAGTTTCTTGAGTTTCTACAAAGCATCTTCTACAGGTAAAGAAAATTCGGACCTGAATTCATTTTCCTCTTTGTAAATCTTGACTTCTTCTGTGCGCCTTGGAGCACCCGTACTTCTTGTATCGAGGATGGTCCTACTTTAAATGAGCCTTCACTGTCATATCTATAAAAACCACATCATATTACTCGTTACAAGCCAAAAAAGGAAAACCCAAGAAAGTACAATATTCACCAACACGCATTCTCCACTCTTTCTCCATTATGTCAAATCATAGCAAAGGCAAGATCCACAGGAAGCGGATAAGAAAAGTATACTTACTGAATGTGCAACATAAGCCGCTCGTTGTCAGCATGATCAAAAACATTCCTAAATGAATAAAAAGACCCCTCTTTCAAGACCCGGTCCTGAGAAACTTCAAGGGTCCGCAATAAGTATGGGGCTGCAACAGGTGGTGTGATCGAAGCTGAAACGTGCAATGAGGGCGGAGGCGAAGATTTTCCTTTAGTCAAAGTGAACCATTTCTTTACTGATAATGTCGGTGAAGACAACAATGTATCCCATGTGAGGATCATCTCCCCAAGCAACTTTGAACATGATGAGAGGATCCCGCTAGAGGTGGAACGAAGTTGAAGAAGCAGACCCTGTGTTGAGGTTTCAAACTTAAATGTATACAATTGTCTCCAAACGGGGTCCGAGTACGTGGGTACTTCATATGTGTCCAACTTGAAGGATGGACACCTCTGAAGGAGCTGGATACGAACAAATAGAGTAGGCCCTGCCTTCTTCACAGAAACATCTCTAGCCCCAAGCAACGCCAAGCAGACCTGAAAAGACATGCACACGACATTCTTGCTTACTTATAGAATTGAACTCAAAATCAAGAAGTATTCAACAGATACCGAATAAAACAATTGATAGGTCAAAAAACAAACAACAACAATAACAACAGTAATAATAATATGCCAATTGGAAATAACTCCATACAAGAACAAAAAATTAAGGAGAGCACTTATAGAGCAATGCTAATGACAAACAATGACTTAAAGCGGTGCTGACGCAGTGAAAAGAAAAATATGCACACGAGCACCATAACTCACCTGAGCTAGAGAACTTCGCATTAAAAGCCACTACTATATCCTAACATGAGTAAATTACAAGCTTCTGAAGGGAATGCCAAATTTCAAGTTATGATACATTTCACAATTGAAATCACGCCAACATACCTCCAGGTTGAGGAAAGCTTAGTTCAAGAAAATTTCTCCAAATGTGAAATACATCACAACACAAAAAGAATAAACTGCAAGAAGAGGCACATGTCCTATACCTGGACAGTTTGTCTCTGAGTTAAATAAGTACTCTGTTCGTGAACATTCGACGAAACCGATGCGTCATTCAACGAAGCATTTGAATTCACAGGCAATGGTTCAACGGGGACAGGCAAGTCTCCTCTCCACATGCATCCTGCCTTTGCGTAAATTTCTCCGAAGGTTTCTTCCCATAATTCACAAGTGTCCTTAAAACCTGTGTTGAGTTTCTGACCAGGATTTCGATCACTGTCCGTATCATCGTGGTTCAAAACCTTGTTTAAAATAGCCATACAGTCCCGGTCGTAAGCGGACGGACACAGCTGGTGAGCATGCCTGAACATGTGCAACAGCAATTTTAATAGTTTCAAAGTAAACGTTGCAGATTAGATGTATTCATGGAGGCTCATTTTGATCAAATTCACAAACTGGACCCAAATTCATCATACTATGTCTATATCCAATCCCAAAAAGACTAAATCCGATTTTTCCCAACCACCGAGCCATTTTCTAGCTTACCACATGATGTCAACATCGTAAGTTGGAACGAGAAAAAGTCCCTTATTCAAAGTGAATAAATATAGAAAGCCCTTGTAACGTTGCTCTGCAGATTTCAAGTAACTATCGGTTCGTACAAATGGTTGAGACACCTGTAAAGGTTAGCAAAAATAAAAATTACTGTGAGTACATTAAAAGTTCCACTCTCTGTGAGTGACAACCTCCCCGAGAAAGATCTTCGCATCCTGCAAAAGCAATCCTCTGAAGAACTCTACTTTTTATCGTACTCAATAAGCCTATTGTGTTCGATCAATTGACTCACTAAGACAAATAAAATAACGATTCAAATGTGCAATCCTCAACGTAAACACATCGTCGAAGAGAATTCACTATAGGACATCAGATGTGGTTCACTGAAATCCATGTACTTTGAACACTTACTTGATAGAAGAACGTCTTTTGCCGTGAGACGGCAGCCTCCAGATCATACGTGATTTTTCTTGAATCAGACGTGATAGCTAGCTGCTTAAGGCTAGAGGAGATTCCACTGCTCTCCTTTTCTTGAACAGCTTTGTTATCAGTCTGAACGAACTCTACGTTGTAAGGCTCATCAACATAGAGGGCGGACCATAAATCCTTGGTGTGATTAACAGCAACAGGCCTGTCTGATGGGTTTATAATCGGTGCATCCAATATTCTTCCATATAACTCCTTACAATCTTTTGCATACCTAATCTGAATTCATAAAATACAGAACACATGTATATAGTAAACAGTGAGATCACAATAAATAGTTAACTAACAAACTGGTATTAAAGAGCACCATAAAATAAGTATTCAACGGCAGCAGACACCGGAACATTGATGTGAAGGACTACTCAGCCTAAATTCTCCAAAGTAAACCACTCGCATCGTTGATCTAGAAACGAACAACTTAAACGACAATGCCTGTGAAGGAAATTTGATTGGGAAAAAAAAAACAAAAAAACAAAAAAACAAAAACAAAAAACAAAAAACAACAACAAATACAAACAAACAAAACAAAACAAAAACGAAAAATAAAAAATAAAAAAACAAAAACAAAATGACATAAAACGCTGACACTCACGCACTGTGAAGATCATTTTTTCTTAATTCCTTAAATGACGATATACTTTGAGGGAGAGGAAGGACAAAACACTCACTGGATTTAAGCGATGGACGTGCCAAATCCAACCACAATCAAGGGGAGGAACTAGCGGAGGTGATGCCCCTTGAGAATCATCCCCTTCTTTAGCCAAAAGGGGCAGCCAACATCTTTCATACCTGTATCATGAGGCATATTTTTGAAAAAAATTAGACTTAATTACCTGAATCAACTCAACCAAAACGCAATAGATTAAGCGCATCACCACTTCTGAGGACAATAGCAGGTAATCGAATCTTATGTAAGTGTTAAGAGCTCACAACCATCGAAGCGATCTCAATGCTAAAAAAACTGGCAGGAATTCCAGCCAGATGATTTTCCCGACTAGATCCAAAAAATTCCGAAACACTAGAACCAACACTGCCTTGATTTCCGGAAGGTTCTTGGAATCGAATTGCCAATAGGATAGCTCTCCACCTCAACATTGAATCTTTCATAATTTGACTGCTAAAGCTCTAAAAGGGTGCGAGATTTCTAGTATATCCAGATTGAAGAATACTCACGGGTATTCTACACAGCTGAGTTATAACATCAAGCTTCAAAACGTCTTGAAAAAAATTCTCAAATTACAGTTGCACCATCGATAATTGCAGAACAAGAGTCCAAGTACCTGTCGATTGCTCGTACAACTGCAGGTCCTTCATAATAACATTGAAACCGATCAACTTCTTCAAGCATTCGAAGCTCTTCTGTTGCAGCGGCAACTAGGTCTACGGATATTGGCAGCGCCTGTGCGGCTTCCCACGCTTTCAATTGAGCGTTATTCATAACGACCTTTGCACGAAAATTCAGTGCCCGAAGCAAAAGGTGTAAGTCAAATTATCAATTATTACACCTAGTACACTTCCCCCTGATGACCTCCTACTTCTCGCAATCGCGATGCTCCAAATACAAAGGCGCTCCGCGCAGCAACAGTAATCAGTGGATTATATGGCGTAAACCACTGACCATAACTATCTTCCCCTTTTATTTAAATACAGAAATAGCTATCAGTAATCAGGAATTACGGGAATGAAATTGATTGCGCAGAGAAGAAAATCTCAAAAGCGAAAACTCGACATCCACCGACATCTACACCACTCCGTCCTGCCGAGATAAAACTCCTCAGCCAGAACAAGCTTGGTCCGTTATTAAAACCTCAGGATCCACGGTAACCGAAGAAACTCAACCGACTAGAAAGTATGCCCCGGTCAAGCGAGATGACGGTCTCTGAGAAGTGTAGCTCCGCCAGCACATCCAAAGAGAGCTTCAACCGAGACAAATGGGACCGAACATGATGCAACCGTGGAAAACAGACAGGGCGATTGATGCAAACGGAAGAAAAAGCGATGCGTGTCGTGGCAGTTGGCAAGAAGGGAGCGGGAGTAGGATTCGATGAGTCCGTCAAAGTACGGCAGTCGGCAGCAGCAGCAATGACAGGATGTCAAACAGCGTGACCAGTATGAGTCCAGACGCGCCATAGCCGTCACCGCCGCGGAGCTTCTCCGAGCATCACCGGGAAGACGACTCAAGTCTATGGATGGATGTAATGCGGAGATGAAAGTTCGCCTCCTGTTTTCCGTCTCTATATGGATGAATGAAATCTAACGATGAAAGCTCGTTCCCTATTTTCTGTTTAACTGTATAGATGAATAACATCGAGAGATGAAAGCTCGCTCTCTATTTTCGTTCATCCCTTTCATGAAGCCTCTGTTGTTTGTGACTTGTTTCTAGATCTCAAAATTGCTTCTTGTCACTTCAATGTTGGAGTATTGGTAAATGGTTTTTTTTTTTTTTTTTTTTTTTTTTTTTTAAAGTTAAGATGAACTAGTTCATTCTTAATTTTATATTAAGAATGAACTAGATAATACTAAATAATTTTAACACAAAATACCTCGCACACAATACTAAGTATATAATTAACTTTACTCATGATAATGCATTGCATAAAAATATTTTAAAGGATGTGAAATTGGTTTATTTTTTATATTTAAATTTAATATTTTTTTCTTCTCACACAAAATTTTATGTTCAAACTGCATAACTAACCAAATTTTAATTTAGTTGAATCTACCATAATTATTAGAACTTAAAAAATATGAAATATATTTTAGTCAATGTCTTATCCATTTAATTATATAATAGTTTCATTTTCACATTTATTATTTTAAATATTATGCTAAATCATTAAATATGGTTTTGTTACTTATTTGTTTGTTTACTTATTCATTTCTTTATTTATTTCTGTTCAAGTCTTACATTGACAAGTTCTACATTCATCTTGAGTTATTGTATATAATTACTTTTTTATGTGATAATAATAGAATTAGAAGTTGAAACAGCAATGTATTTTGTATCTTAACAAGCCGTTTAAAGAAAGGACTAAAAAATAACCTTACAAATAGTCAGAAGAAGAATGTTTCGAAAAAATATTAATTATGTGTGATTTTCAGAACTAAAATCCGTTGATAAGAAATTGGTTTCTTAAGCAATAGAAAATACACTGTTTGATTGTGAGCAACTTTTTGAAATGATATACTAACAAGGTATTGGTAGACAGACATGTTTTTTAGCTGATGAACAATCTAAGAAAAATTCCTGTGACTTACTAAAGATATCAAGAGGAGCAAATACAGCGAAATTTTGTTGTTCTTATGGTCTTTTCTTATGGGTTAAAATTCATTTTCGATATTGCACTTTAAAGTCACTAATGCAATAAGAGAAAGTAATTACGATGTAAAATAATTTCACTCTAATTTTATATTCCCACTTACATTACATATTTCTATATTTCCACTGTTGAATTAGTGCATTGGCGTTCCACGGTTAAGTTATATAATCCAAAATAGAATGAAGTATCAAAATGTCGACTGGGCAGAGGGCATGAAAGACTTGAAAGACCTGATCTGCGAAATTAAACTACAACATCCGGTGTGCTTGGCAAATTCAGGTCTGAATGCTGAACCAAGTAAACATTGTAGAGCATCTGAAGGTCCAAAACCTTCAATTTTGCATGAAAAGGTCTGGTCAGTTGTTCAAAGTAGAACTAGGTGCTTTCAAAGTAGAACAAATCAACCTATGTCAACTGCATTCAGGATAAGGGATTGGCCCCGCCCAGAGAATAGAAGAGTATTACTTGTGAAGAAAACTATACTGAACCTCAACGAGGCCAAAGTCCAGTTCTCAGTACTTGCAAATCGTCCGTGAACAGGGAATCTAGTGCGCACTGACATGGGAAATTCAAGAACCCTAAATGTAATGTACACGGCATAGGCCTGTCTTGGCTTATGTAAAGAGTCATTACTCTTCACAACAACATAATTGTAATGTTTCGTACCACCACCCTGTTTCAAGCTGATATGCTCACTGGGTAACGAAGCCACCGCCCAAAGCTGGCCTTCGGAGCATTGGGTACCGGTCTAAGCACTTTGTCATCGTAACCTACGGACATCAAGTACAGGCCGTGTGCAGGTGCAACTGGAGAAATTTTAGCTAGCTCTCGGCGATCTTCCGTCAGCAGAATCGTCCTCACCATGCTTGGAGGCACTAGTTCTTTTCCAACCTGAACCAGTAATCCGACCTGCACAACGAACTCCATGATTTAGAAAACAACTCCTGTGCTCACACTAATTTAAAAAACAAAGATAAGTTTCTTTCGAGTTGACACCTTAAGATATGTCAGTGCAGAACTACGTTGTGTTCGAAACAGTAATAACTATACTTTGATCAATCTGCTTTCACTTCAGAAAAATCCGCGACGTAATCAAGGAACTGCTTGTTTCCTTGTTCCATGTATCATTCAGGTATATTTGACTCAGCACTAAATCGACTAGAAGCACGAACTATTAGACCTAAGGCTACAAGTGTGCTGTAAATGCCCATACCATATTACGCACTTGCTTGTACATAAAGGATTTCCCTTCTACTTCAAACAACAACTGCGGTCCCTGCACCAAAACATTGAAGCATATCACATTGTTAAAGAGATGTTTCTGTTCAATAACATGATGATTGTCTGCATTGTCGTCAGTGGCAGGTATAAAAATTATATGTATACATATATATGTATTCACATCAAAAAGATTCTGTCATGAATGTGTATAAACCAAGCCTGGAAAAAGTTTAAAATAAGCGTGTCCATGAAGGAAGTGCGTACTATGGATGAAACGGTAAAACTTAAAAGATCGCGAAGAGTGTCTCGCGATGCGGTGTCAGCCGAATGGTTAGCAAATGCAGAGAAATTGTGAGTGCCAACAAAATATGAGGCAGCCTCTTCCATTGCAGCAATATTGACGGAATTTTTGATGTGATACGCGTAAGCATGTTGAAAGGGATCCATCACTGGCGACACATAGGCTTTGTATTGATATGTTTTGCGGCATGCCGAATACCGGGCGTGGAAGTCCGGCTGGACAGAGGATACTTCTAGTATTCGAATGTCAGGCGGGAGAATGCCGTTCAACGACGTGTGCAACGGTTCCAAATCACAGAAGCAAGTAGGTGTCGTGAAATGCGCAACCTGAACGTAGAAGCATCATCACAAACATCTGAGATGCTCCACAAACACGGCGAGAAGAGCCTTCAAGAATATAACAAGAGGAGCAAAGAGAATGATTGACGCAAGAAACGATAGGCGGATGAGACCTTGGGAACAGTTTTCTGGAGTTTGCAAAGTCTTGGAGGTTCACCTGACCCCAGGCGTGGACGCCGGCATCAGTGCGACCTGCTCCCACAAGTTTCAGCTCATCGCGTGGCAACCGCGTAAATTTTGACAGAGCATCCTCGACCTTTTCCTGAATGGAGACATAGTTCTTCTGAATTTGCCATCCTGCAATACCAGTAACAAGTCATGTTCGTGTAACAACCATTTCCAGGTTTTCTGATGACAACAACACATGTTCCAACTCAAGTTATATTTGAAAAAAATCTGAAGCAATATCAGAGAGTGTAAGAACTCAAATGAATGCAGGGAGACTCGACCTGAATACTGTGTGCCATCGTATGAAATCACCAATCGCCATTTCCAACCGGGCTGCGTTTTCTCCACTAAATCATCCCGCCTCTCGAGGCTACCAGATGTAGAGCAATTTCGAAACACGTACTTCACATATGGACGCACCTGCTTCTGCTCTCGGAGCTGCAAACGCAAACGTTCGACATCTTAAATTGAACGCATTGGACGCATTCCCCACTCCTGCAAAGACACGAAGCATCTCAACGAATTCGAGAACAGCCCAGACATTATCAACATTGCTTTGAGAAACTGTGATCAAAACCCACCGGAGCACACACATGCGAAGGTTTGAAACGACCGCACCAGAGTGGGCTGTCGGCGACACAATTCCGCATCACCGTTACCATAGCTGATGCCCTGCTTTACTGATACCAGCCCCTAGCTTAAGCACTAGCACACAACCGCAAAACCCTAAACCTCCAAACCACACAATCCTCTCCCAAGCACATCGAATTTGGGCGCATCTTTGTGGTGGGTACAAACGGAGGATTCATTATAATTCTCTATTGCTATTATGGAAAAATCTCGCCATCACCCACCCATTGAATTCCCACAACAAACGTGTGAGACTGTCGTGGATAGTGAGTGCCCTTGCAAACTAATTCTGTGAATCGAAGCCTGTCTCGAATTCCGACAACGAAGCGAGGATTTTACATACTGTGTCTTACATCGTTACGTGCACCAGTGCGCGAGAGTGACATTCCGCCCCCTTGGGCCCTTCGCTTCTTCACAGCTCTCTCGCACCTTCAATGACAAGCTCTGGGCAATGGAGTTGCAGCTCGGTGAAGCTTTGCGACGAGAGGCCCTGCACATGAACTACTTTAAAGTAGCACAAACTATGGTCTAGGATGTTACTATGACTTGTATGAATATGAGGTTAGCTTTTTTAGTGAAAGGATTTGGCATTGCTTATTTGAGAGTGGAAAATTGCTCCAATTAAAGTTATACGAATTGAGATTTCTTTTTTGTTACATTAGATACAGCCGTGAAGAAATGGCCACGAAGCTCTCTTAACATCTCCAATCTCCTTTACAAACAAAATAGGTCTTCTTGCACTCTACCTATGGTTTTACGTAAGTTTGTGAAAATTTAAATGTAATTTTTTTTTCTTGTTGTGTCATAAGAGTATTAAAAATTCTAATATGGAAAATTTAAATGAAACAGATAAATATTTGGTATAAATGATTTTTCTTTTCAAATCAACAAAAATTTATTGAAAAGAAGATTATAAAAAGATCATTCAAATTTTACAAACAGAAAATTCTATTCAAGTACGCATCATTTTTAAATTATTTAATTCATTTTTAAATTAATAATATTTTTAATATTACATAATTTAAGGAACCAAGTACAAATTTATGTACACCTTTTAGGTAAAATTGCATGTTTGTGAATAAGATTTTTGGAAGTTACATAGTTTAAACTAGAAGGTTTCTACACATAAAATCTTAAAAAATATGTTTCTTTTTATCATACTATCAGAATACAACACAAAGTTTGATAATATTTCATTCCAACCAAATTACTATAAAAAATTAATAACAAAAATAAAAAATATATATATATCAACAATTTAAAACTTATGTTTTTTTTTTTTTTTTTTTTTTTTTTTTTAATCTCTTACAAGTTCCTAATATTATTTGATACTTGATAAACTATAATTTTGGAAACAAAAAAAAATCTATATTTATCAGTCACTTATTTAGTAAGAAATGATTTTCTTAGTAAGTTATGCCTAAAAATAATCGCACATATATAATAATAGTATCATAGATTTTTAAAAATAATTTATGTTCATTATTTAATAGATTATAAAAAATGAAAAAAATAAAAAAACAATAAATTATCAATTATGTATATATAAATATATATTTAGATACATACAAGATTAAAGTAAATGTTCATATGTGTATATATATATATAAATGAATTAATTATATTTTCAAAACCAAAAATTGAATTGCTATCAAAAAAATCTATAAAAAATAAAAGAAATAATAATATTTTTTATAATATATTTTTTAAAATAACTTGTGTGTAATTTTTTTAAATAATCATTTGAACTACGTAAAAAAATTATTAATTTAAAAACATTCCTATGAAGTTTGAATTTAATTTTTATTATTGAGATTAGTTTACATCTTTGACTATTTTTATTATAAATATGTGCACAAGCTTGTCATCATTGCTAAATAAATATAAAAACTTAATATTGATTCTTTTATATATAAACTAGTGTTTAAGTTTGACATCATTACAAAATAGAATTGGCAACTTCACATTTTTAATTTATATTAATTTATAAAGATGCTTAATTTGAACATTATTATTAACTAAATTGGACAAACTTACATCTTTGACATTGTTTCTCATAAGTAGGTGTTCAAGCTTGATATCAATGCTAAGTGATTTATGCAATCTCATTGAGCAATTTCTTATTGCATTTGATATAAAGATGTATTTATAGAATAGAAGTAGAGATAAGTTATTACTATTATTATTATTATTATTATTATTTAATTTACAACAATTTATTGACTTACTTCAAATTTTGGGCAAGAATTAGAGTTAATTATACTTAATTTATTGAATAATGATTTTAATAAATATACATTTCATTAATAGGTAGTTATATCTAACTATTAAAAATATTATATCAAAGAAGTTTAAATTACCTTTATCAATAAAATCAAACAAAGATTGTAATTTGAAATGTCTCTAATGGATAGTATTTTTTTAAATTCAAATGTTTGTTTTGTTTTGTTTTGTTTTTTTTTCTTGTTTTTAAGTCTTTTTTATATAAAAAATATTTTTGTAGAATTATAGAGTATATTGGCTCCATGTATTTGTTGGTATTCTTCAAATAGTTTATTACTGTTTTGTCATTTAGAATTAGTTGGATTATGATTTAACTCTAAAAGAATACATTTTTGATAATATATAATGTTTACATAGAAATAATTTATTTATAATTATAATTATATATATATATATATATATATATATATATATATTATAGGAGTTTTTATAAGAAGAAAGACAAAGACATTACTTCACTGTTAGTGTTGATATATTCATGATTGAAAATTTAAGAACTTGTCCATAAAAAAATTCAAGAACTAGAATAGGTAGAAATAAAAATAAAAATAAAAACTATAAGAAAGTAGGAAGAATGTGGATAATGTTTAATTTTTTTTAATTAAAGAAAAAATCGAATAGAATTAAAGAAATAAATACGCCATTTCAGATTAAAAATAAATAAATTAGTAATATTATTAGAAAAAAATAACAACTAAGTCTTTAAGTTACTTTCAAATGATAGAAGATAAAAGAACAAAGTGAGAACCAGTGGCTTTAGGAGGACAAATACATTTTAAAAGATTAAATACTTAAGTTATATTTTCTAATCATTTGTTTATTTTACATATTTTCATTCAACAACTTAAGTAGAACCATAAAAATTCTCTAATATCATCCTTTTACATATGTTTTTTTTACAAACATATGGTTTTAAATTAATAAAATATTTTAACAACCAATTTGTATTAAAAAGAGTCAATTGGCAACTACATAACATCCTTATGTTTAAACTTATTATCATGGCTATAAATAGATATGGATAACAAAAAAAATCTTGTACTTGATGATGTTGCCAAAGAAACGGAACCAATACAAAGAATATTCAAGGACTAATACATTGGTTTAAATTAATATTTCTTTGAAAAAAATAGAAAAACGAATTGATGGACCATAAGATTGGCTTAATCCAACAAAAAATATAATTGTAGGACACAAAGTCATGAAGATTACAATTCCAATTGATAATAAATACAGTATATAGAAAAAACTCAAGAGATTATTTAGCACAATTAAAAGTACTGTAAAACAATTCAAACATAAGAGACATATGAAGTATGAAAATGATCCAATTGAAAAAAACTCTAATTTAATTTCTTAAAAGAACTCTATCATGACTATTATGAAACTTTTATTACATCATTTCATAATTAGTCAATAAAACATCAATCAATGACTATAATATAATGATAATAATAATAATAGGTCATATTCAATAGTAAAATTGACTATGTCTAACAAAAATAGAAGCAATCCAAATAAGTATGTGTGTAAATTTCTAATTATCCATAATGTTAACAAAATTATAAACAAATCTCATTTGGGGCAAAGATATGAATCTAATCAAAAAGTTAAAAATGAATTAAATTTATGTATCATTTAGAAGAAAAAAGTAAAGAAAATTGAAACATATTTATAATTGAAAATAACTATAATTTGTTTTTAAATACATGGAAGCTAGGGAGACTTAAACAAAGACCAAAATATCATAAAAGCATTGATAAGATTAAGAGAAGCATTAATCTTGCCTTGGTACACACTAGCTACCATGGTTTAAGATGTAGGGGTTTGAGATTTTAGAAACCTAGGTGAATGAGTGCATGGCTTAATCCATGGTAGGACATGATTGAATATTTTCTAAAATTTTAAAAATCCTTTGCAAAGGCTAATTAAAATTAAATCATTTTTAGAATACTAGGTGATATATATATATATGTTAAATTTGAATTTCCTAATCTATTTCCTTGCTTATAAATATTTTTTAAAGACAAATTAACATCAAACAAAACAAAACCTTCTTAAAAAACCTGTTGTCAGATTTTTAACAATCAAATTTAATTGTGTATTATAATGTAGAAAGAGGGGAGAATGAAATATTATTATCCTACTAAAAATACATTCTTGCTTCAATTATAATGTCCATGTTACTTATATTTTAAAAAATATTTTTATATTTAAATTTAGAGGATTTACATTCAAAGTTGGTGATTTCTGAAGCAACCAAGGACTTGATATTTAAAAACGTTTTGAAATTGTTATTCAGACATACCTTTGTTATTTTCCGAAGTATAATAATTAAGGAATGCAAGAACATCTCTGCAATGTGCTATTGTTATAAATGATTTGATTATCCAATTGAAATTACGAAAAAAGAATAAAACGAAAATAGAAAGAAAATAAAATTACAACCAAAAAGAAGATTAAAGGATGTTAAAAAGGTGATAGTCTTTAAAATCGAGATGTTTTCTCAATAAACTTATCTTAAATTCGGAAAGAGAATAAAAATTTAAAACAGAAAAAAACATGTTAAATTACATATAAATAGTGAGAATACATTTATTTATTTATTTATTCATTTTAAATTAAATTTATATGTTATCAATAAATTCAGTTTGAAATAATTACATGTTTTATATTCTCCAAGTGGCAATTTTAGTTTTTGAATTATTCATGTTTTAGCAATGCAACCCTTCTCATACAATCACATTACAGAACATGATAAATTTTTATTCTATAACCCCTGATATTTTAGAAATATACCAAATGATAATTATGAAACCTATTTTGATATCACCAAAATGAAGTTTAATCCCCTGAGCCGATAACCGTGGATCACATTAGTACGTTCTGGTAATAAAATCCAAGTGCTTCCGAAATAAATATACATATGGAAGGAGGGGGAACATTCCAAAACCACTCTACACTTGATACAACACAAGACAAAAAGAAACAAAAACAATACGATAAAATAAAATAAAGATTAAAAGTTAAAAGTTGCTGGCTAAAAGTTAAAGTTGTTTCAATAACACCTTTAAGCAAAAAGAACGGTTCATATGGTCGAATGGGAACCCATGCATGTCCAAGCTTCATGTAATCAGAATCTCCAACCCCTGCTCAATATGACGTGGAGCTCATTTATTGGCTATTACCCCTCTAGTCTCCCCAGCTGGCAAGTGGCTCTGGACAACTAAACATACCCAGTTCCACGTGGATCAATTGAACCTGATTCAACATTCATCCATATAACGAATCGATATACACATTCATCGACGGCGAAGACAGAGAGAGTATCCTCACACTTCTGACTCGTTTATTGTTACGATTCCCTCCAGGTGTGAACGGGGAGGATTGGTGCACAGTCAGCATGCCACGGCAGCAGGATAAGACAGTGGTAACAGAAGCAAAGGCGCTGAAGTGGTCGCCTGCCATGTGGCCGCTAACGTGGTTGGCTGTGGGAATCTCCACGCCGAGCCGGCATCCGAGGCTGCGTCTCGGTGGTGCCACTACCACGTGAGCGTAGAATACAGGTACAACTACTCGGGTCACGGTGATAGGGTGAGAGCGTGGAAAAAGCGCGACTGCTCCTTCGAGATCTGTCCGTCGATTCCTCTGGCTATGGCTACGTGCGCTTTCCATGGCCATGGTGGTGGTAGTGGTGTTGGTGGCGTCTGCTCGAAATCTGCGTCTCCGAATTGGCCCCGAGTTCTGTTTCGATTCATTCTCCCTGCGGGAGTACCACGCACGCCATCGCTCGATTGCCTCGCTTTCCAGCGAACCACCGCGCGATTCCGTCCGTTGCGCGACCGCAATTTCGGCCTTCCGGAGCGCGACCGACGCCACTTTTGAAAGCCCGTGGGCTGGTCTGGTAGAGCTAGTGATGTTAGCCCCCCGGAATTGAGAGGGAGAGACATTTTGGTAGCATAAATGCACTGTCATTTCGGGCACCGAGAATCTGCCTTCTCTCGGATGAGATGTTCTTGAATCCGTGAATCTGTCTCTCCTGTTTCGGTGCGCCTTGTGGTTGGAGTGGAGTTGAGATACTCAGTCGGAAGTCCGCACCCTTTCGTGATCCTTCTCTCCCTGGGTCTTTGGTTTGTGATAGATTCTGGTGAGACTTTTGGTTTCGATTTTTGTGGAGGAAGATCGCGGAGGCGATTTCAAGCGTAGGCAGGGACTCGCGCTGAGAATTGTTGTCAGGGAAAGATTCCCTTTCTGTCTGAGGCCTTGTAATATTTGTCGTTTGGGAGCTTAGCGATCGGGGATTTGCCTTAGTCACTTGATTTTGTACATAAGGAGTGTTCTGTGGCGTCCCGCTGTTCAATTAACTTAATTTGTATATAAAACTTGCCAACGCTTCTCTCTGTTGTACATAAAAGAGTTGCGCCTGGAGAAAACTAAATCTGTCGAAATCTCTTGTCTTGGAGGTTATTGTATGGGCTCGATTCGTGAATAATTCTTTTCATGAACCAGCTTTACAGTTGTTCAGCTCTTCTTCACTACGCTGTGATTTTTATTTTTATTTTTATCTTTGTGTAAAGATTCTTCAATCTCTGCGTAGCCATGGAAGTCCTTGCAAGCGCAGTGACCATGCGCATTTCAGTTCTATCACCTTCTCCCACCGATTTCTGCCCAAACGTTCATAGGAGGTGTCAAGCAGCACCGTATAGGAAAAGCACAGGAGGATTCAACTCTGTCCTCGCGCGGCACCACGAAGGTTTGCGGTCGTCGTCTGCGGTGGATGTCTTGCGACCTTTATCTCTATCCGAGGGCTTTGACGTAGCTGTTAATTCGCACCTGGCAACGGGGAGAAGTAACGGACAGCAGAGTCGCGGAGTCGTCACGGCAGTATTCGAGAGGTTTACCGAGAGGGCGATCAAGTCCGTGATGCTGGCGCAAAGGGAAGCCAAAGCCCTTGGAAAACGGGAAGTCGGCACAGAGCAACTGTTGCTGGGGTTGATAGCGGAGGATAGAGGCAGCGAAGGCTACCTCGGCTCTGGTGTTACGATTGAGAGAGCCAGGGAGGCCGTAAAGAGCTTGTTGGATGAATCCGATGGCAGCGATTTGCTTGGACCAGCTACAGATGTTCCATTTTCTCATGGAAGCAAGAGAGTGTTCGAAGCGGCACTGGAACACTCTAAAAAGATGGGACATAATTATATTGCTCCAGAGCACATTGCGATTGCTCTGTTGGCCGTGGATGATGGAGGTGCTAGCAATGTCCTGGACAAGTAGGTGTCTTCCCTCTCTTGATAGTAATTTAAAAGGAATTCCGTTTGAGTAGGAAAACATGTTGCATGGCTCTGAGCTATGCGTGTTCCATATCAGTAGTCCTTGGGCATCTACATTTGCACTTGATTATTAGAGACTCACATTGATGATCCTGACTTTGTATTCAGATCCTGTAATTGTATGACCGTGAAGAAGTCTTTCACTTGGTTAGTTCCACATTCCTGCTGATGCAGGAACACATTGAAATAGTCTACTGATTTTGAACTGTTCCGTTATGGTCATCAGATTGGGTGTGAAGAAGGGGAAATTACAGTCAGAGGCTGTGGCGAAGCTGCAGGGTGAGCTGGAGAAGGAAGGTCGTGCAGCATCGTCATCGGTTGCCATGCCACAGAAGGCAGCCGCTGGCGCCGCCGCGTCTACGCGCCCATCTTCAAGAAAAGGTTAGTTTATTCGTTTGCTTGCTGGTTCACCTCTGTGCAAATCTGATCTGTGTAGTCGTTTGATCAAAATTAGGTTTATTTCCTGCACAGAAATCAGCTTACAACTGGGGTGTGAAGATTATTGTGGGGGTTTTCAGTAAGGTGAATCGGGAGCCTATACTACACTTGCAAATGTTGCGTGGCAGCATTTATTCGACACCTAGGAATATGGGACTTTTACGTATCAGTTGATGATGATGTTTGGGTGGAATTGATAAACAGAAAAAGGGGCTTTGCACGATTTCTGCGTTGACATTACGGCTCAAGCTGCTGAGGGCAAAATTGATCCAGTAATTGGTCGCGACAAAGAAGTGCAGCGAGTGGTTCAAATCCTTGGCCGACGAACGAAGAATAATCCAATCCTATTGGGAGAACCTGGTGTCGGAAAGACTGCAATCGCGGAGGGACTCGCGATGCGAATATGCAAAGGCGATGTCCCTGATTTTCTGATTGTGAGTCATTTTGGAAGATCTATTTGCGACCGTCGCAGATTTGCTTCAGCGCTGGTTTCTGAACCTTTATCTTTTGCTGTGGTTGCAAAGCTGTGGTCTATTTTACAATGGACCATTAGCATGTTGCGCCATTATGAAAGTTGGGTTCTTAGTCTTTAAGTTCCTCACATGGATCTGAAGTTCTTTTTAGGCGAGGTTTAGTAGCCTATGTCTCTGCTTGTGTATTTGTCTCAATATAGAACACTTGCAGGATAAGCGGGTGATGTCATTGGACATGGGATTGCTGCTTGCTGGAGCCAAGGAACGTGGTGAAATGGAGACACGGGTGACCAATCTAATTGAAGAGACTCGAACTGCAGGTATGATCCTGGACATTTGAGTGTGGATATCGTCGGTACTAAGGGTCACTGTCATTGCGAATCGGATTGGTTGTGCGTTGAAAGATTGCTAATTCTTTGTTACAGCAGAAGTTTGCTAGCGTTGAATACGTGCGATTTTTGCCTAACAACGGTGTGTGGGTATACGTGCAGGGAATGTGATTTTACTAATTGATGAAGTGCACACACTAGTGGGCTCCGGTTCAGTCGGAAGAGGAGGTAGTGCAGGGGCAGGTTTGGACATTGCTAACTTGCTGAAACCTGCGCTCGCAAGAGGAGAGCTTCAGGTGACCATCTCATATATGGCTTTGATGAGTACTGATTATCATGAACATTTTGGATTTGCAAGTATATGTGGGGTTTTTCACAAGATCTGACTGTTTGTGGTGGTGTTTATGTGAGCAGTGTATTGGAGCAACTACCTTAGATGAACATCGCAAGCATATTGAGAAAGACAAGGCCCTAGCACGTCGCTTCCAGCCAGTAATGGTATTAGAGCCTTCACAGGTACAATCGTGTGTCTCAAGATCGTCCATTACACCCTAGGACAATCAGATGCTCACAACTCTGATAGTGAATGATGATCACCTTCTTTGAACTTGTTGTAGAGGTTAGAATGGACTTGGTCTGTTATATCTTGATTTTTTTCTTTACAGCAAAGCCTAACTTGGTGGAGATTGAGAGGACGAGGAGTAGGTGTTGTAAACAGAAGGGAACCAACTACCAGCTCGTTTAGTATGCCATGATGTAACTCGGGGGACTAACAAAGAATGATTACCAATTTCTTCTCTTAGCACCACATAAACAATTAAACGATGTTGTTGTAGTGCTTCCTTAGGGCTGCGTAGAAGTGATGAAGCCTAACCGGCTACCTTTTGAATGAGATTATTGAGATGTAACACCTGATAACAAGAGGCGTGCTGAAGGCTGATATGCTTTATCGCCCATTTCTTACGCGTAGTTCAATGTCGGTTTTGCAGGAGGATGCAGTGACTATTTTGATGGGGTTGCGTAGTAGATATGAAGAACACCACAAATGCCACATAACCAGCGAGGCAGTGGAGGCTGCCGTGTACCTAGCCTCCCGGTACATTGCTGACCGGTTCTTGCCCGATAAAGCAATCGACCTTTTGGATGAAGCTGGCAGCCGAGCTCGGATAAACTCTTTTAGGAAGAGGAAGGAGCGGCAAACTAGCATTTTAACCAAGTCTCCTAGCGAGATTTGGCAAGAGATTCGTGCTGTACAAGCTTCACAGGAAGCGGTAATTTGATTTTCCTGAAACCACGTGCGCATCTAGCAGATTGGGCTCTGTTTGGTTCGATGATGTGTATAAATGCATATTTAGGCAGAGATTCTGGTGTTTTGAGATACCTAACAAATTTTTAGGTTAGTGAAAGATGGGTTTTAGAGCGTTGTCAGCAGCATTTTGATGTAATTGTTGTTGTGTTCTTGTGTAGGCTCTAGTCACATCTTCTGGAAATAAGGATGTCCTGACAGGTGATCCGTCCAGCCTATCAACAACGGAATCAAGAATTGGGGACATGGACAATGAATCATTATCAGTGCCAGATAATGACGCTTTGGATGCGAGCATCGTCAGTGATGATGAGGAGTTTGCAGATGGGTATAGTCATAACCAAAGTGATGCAAAAAAGAAATCGAAGCTCACGTGACCACTTTGTGTGAATACTGCATGGGCATGGATAATGTTTGGGCGTGGTTTAGAATACAGTTTCGAAGCGTCTTTGTTGTCATCAGTGACTGGGTTTTGTGAATCCCGTGGCTCATTTTTGATGGAATTCTATCGTCTCTTGATTTCAAAGAGCTTACGATTTGTTTATTAATTTATTTTGGTAATGGTTGCAGACCTGTGGTCGTCGGACCTGGTGAAATTGCAGCGGTGGCGTCCATGTGGTCTGGTATACCGGTGGAACAGTTGACAAGCGACGAACAAATGAAATTAATGAATTTGGAGAAATCTCTCCAGACCCGTGTTGTGGGCCAAGACGATGCTGTGAATGCAATCTCTAGGGCTGTGCGGAGGGCACGCGTTGGATTGAAGGATCCAAACCGGCCTATTGCTGCGATGCTTTTCTGTGGTCCTACTGGGGTTGGAAAGACGGAGCTTACCAAAGCTCTGGCCCAGCACTACTTTGGATCGGTGAGTACTTAAAAATACCTGGGTGCATTCTCTGGATGTGTGTTAGAGAAGATCAATCGATCCACACCGTGCTTGGAGAGCTGAGAAATATGGTTTGGTTCTGATAGGCTGGTTCTGCGAAGGGAAGGAATGAAATGCTGCTATTACTGTCTTATATTTTGGAATGAAAATGGCACCTCATCTTACCACATGTGATATGGTTGCTTTTTCATCTTCATGTTTAGTGACTCTTTTGTAACGTATAGAACATGTCGGCTTTGCAGGAAGAGTCCATGATTCGTTTGGACATGAGCGAGTACATGGAGAGGCACACAGTGAGCAAGCTGGTTGGGTCTCCTCCAGGGTACGTAGGATATGGCGAAGGTGGTGTACTCACTGAGGCCGTGCGTCGACGTCCGTTTACAGTTATTCTTATGGATGAGATCGAGAAAGCCCATCCGGATGTCTTCAATATGCTGCTTCAAATCTTTGAAGATGGTCACCTGACCGATTCGCAGGGGAGAAAGGTTTCCTTTAAGAATGTTCTGATTGTGATGACATCTAACATAGGCTCACAGCAAATTGCTAAGGGGGGCAGTAGCAAAATCGGGTTTATATACTACAACTCCGACGAAGCAGATGGTGGAAAATACTCACAGTTGAAAGAACTTGTGATGGATGAACTGAAAGGCTACTTCAGGCCAGAGCTGCTGAACAGGCTGGACGAAGTTGTTGTGTTCAGGTCGTTAGAGAAATCTCAGGTACAAAGTTGTTTTATCCTGGAAAGTTCTCTTTTACTTGTGTTATACGAGGATCGGGTTGCAGGCCGAATCATCTGTTGTAATGAATCAATTGTTAGCTTATATATGACATGAGTCGATTCATGTTGTCAGTAATGTCTTCATTCGGAATAGTGTGCCAAGTGTTGGCTCGTGAGTTAGTTTAATTGCCTTTGTTTCTTTGCATAACTCTTGGTTGCGGTGACTGGTGTGTCGTTGCAAAACAGGTGCGAGCTATTGTGGACATTATGCTACAGGAAACGAATTCGCGGTTGGCTGCTCGAGGACTAAATCTGGAAGTCTCGGAAGCTATGGTGAAGTTGATATGTGACCAGGGATATGATAGAAGCTACGGTGCCAGGCCTTTGAGGCGGGCAGTGATGAGTTTAGTTGAGGATAACCTCAGCGAATCGTTGCTGCAGGGCGAGTTCAAGGAAGGGGACACAGCTCTGTTAGATATTGATGAGACCGGAAATCCGAAGGTCTTCCGGATAGAGAAACCTGATGTCTGTGACCATGGCCTGTGCTTGCCCGAGTTGAAGACGGTGTCTATTTCGTCTCCCACAGACTGAAGTTGATACAGACATGCGTGGTGAATATCACTTTTCTTGAGTTACAATTCGTGGAGGCAGGTTGAGTCAGTGCGTTAATGGAACATGGAAAACACTTTTCATTCCAGCAATCCTGGATACGTCTAGCAGATGTGTTTGGTTTACTTAGCAGTGTCAAAACTATTATATGATCGTACATTAGTTTGTCAACAGAATGTAGGGTTCCGTTGTACATAGACTTCGTGTATACTCAAGTACAGTGTTTGGATATTGATTCTTCGTGCCAACATTTTTTCAATTTGCAGTGAAAGCTATCTGTCAAATGGCCCTATTCATTCACCTGTGTTGTTATTCACCCTTAATCCATTCCATTAGTAGAAGTTTTTAATTTAGTGCTTCCTAATTCTTTAAAATAGTTAGGTTGTCCTTTGGCACTACAGCTAAGATTATTGTCGGTGGTTGTTTATTCATTTGATTAATATGAATACAATGTCCCTATTTACGATGATGATGATGATTACCAGTAATTTCCACATGAATGTATTTCAACTGCATTGGTAAAAATAATGTGAATAGTAGTATTTTTTTTGATAATACTATGGAGATAATTTCATAACATATAATATTTACATTTTACTTTTTTTTTCTTCCTGGAAGAACGACAAATAATGATAGAAAATTCACTTTGCAGACTAATTCAAGTGGTTACAATTTTAAGTTTTTTCATAAGTTTATTTTAATTAAATGTGGTATTTCTTTAGGGCTAATTTGTGTGTAGTGTCAACAAAATATCAAATCAACGTGCAATATATATATCAGTGATTATGAAATTGTAAGATTGGCAAACAGCTTAAATTAAATAATTTTATATTCTTAACTATTTAGTTAAAATAAACATGTATGTCCTACTTTATTTCATTTGAATGTTTCATTGAAATTATCACTTAAGCATTGTGAAGAAATTTTAGATTCCATTTCTGCTACCTATTTTTGTAAGTTACATGTCTATAATCAAAGATTTTTATTTTTATTTTTATTATTAAAGTTGCCCTTATTCTATAGGTAATGTAGATATGAAACTCTATAAAAGTTATGAAAAGCTACACATGAAAAAATTAGACAAACAACTTGACAAAGGCATAGCATAGCTTTGCAATTGGGATAGAACATGGATGGCAAAGAACTTATTAGGAACCAATGAAGATAAGACAATTAAGTAAAACTTAAAAATTCATGAGACATGATTAATCATCCCCAAATTAGAAGCACCCAAGATAGTGTATATTTAACAAAACATACTTTTAAAAATACAAATATTATAAAAACAACATAAATTTTGCACTTTAGTTTGCTCTTAACTAATGTGTTTGGGCTAAGGATTGCATTGTAACCACCCTTTACCATTAATACATAAGATCTACCCCACTTGTGTTAAAAAAAGACAAGAATGTACAAAATCATTTTTTTTTTAAAAAAAAAAACTTTAAAACATATTTAGCTTTATTTTTTTTGTTAGTTTTTTTAAAAAATAAAAAATAAAAAATATTCCAATAAATGCTTTTAAATAAAACAAAGACACACTTATACATATACATATATAATTTTAAAAACTTTAAATATAAACATTAAAATTTATAATAAAAAATATATCATTATAAAGAATTTACATCTATAACTATGTTTACATGTTATATATTAACATGTTATCGTTTAAAAATATGTGCACAAACCAAAAAAAGAGTGCACAATAAAAAAAAATTAAATGCCTTCTATTCTAAACTAACAAATTGGAATGGCATTAACTAACAAATTAGAATGGCATAACTTGTATTTTTAAGGGACAATATCACATATCTCTCTGTAATATATTGAAATATCAAGAATACCCCTACATTCTTGATAATAGCAAATATATCCCTAAAAGTTTTAATAATAGAAAATGTATCCTTGAGAATGTTAAGCTATCTCAAATCTGACAAAAGCACAGCTATTCTCATGGATTCCAATAAATGTTTTTATTTCACATGGGGCACAAAGCTCGTGCGCCTTTTATATTTTGTTTGTTCTGCTGCGGCTCTCTTGCCCGCAGCCCCTCGTCATCCATTGTTGTCATCCGTCACCGAAGCTCGCCGCGCTCGCTTCTCCCGCAGAGCACTTGGTTCGTTTGTGGATTAGTTCCTCTAATTGCTGCTGAAATTGTTATGTTTCAGAATTGGGAGTTTTTGATGTGCAACAAGGACAAACACAGAATCGATGTTTCCGGCGCAAGGATTTCTAGAATCACAAAATTTGTACTCGTAGAAGTACTCATTGAACCATGGGAAGCATGCGATGACTATTGGAATGCCTCACACCAACGAAGCAAAATGAGACAAACGACCCTGAAACGAAATGAAACGAACAACGTGCCGTGTTGCTAATAAACACCGTCCAAGCAAGTATCTTATTTGAAAAGAATGCATATGTACAATATAAAACCTGGAAAATTGACCGAGTGGCTGATAAGGCCTCTACACACAACATCCTCGACAAAATCTTCGGTAGCTCAACGTTTACAGAATTGACTTCAGGGATTTTGCTTTCACAAAATTTTGACGCTTAATATCAGGCAGCTCGTCGTCAGATTCAATCATACTGACATCGATTGATTTATCCACTTCTGAAATGGGAGATGTCTTAACACCATCGTTTGGTATAGGGTTTGAAGGCTTCACTGGACTTTGTTCCTTTGACTATTCCTCGATTTTCTTAGACAAATTTCGGCCCGGCGGATCTAATCTCAGTGGCACTTGCTCAAAGAAAATCCTACTTCCGCAGGTTGAAAACATCTCTATCCCTTCTCATCATCCCGATTGCACCGGGGTCCACATATTACAGGGGTATATATATATATGATATTTTTCTTATTTTTAATTCTTAATATAAAAATATGTAACATCAATTATTGCTCTGATATCTATGATAGGGATAATAATATGAATGAAAATATAATGCGTTCAACCAAAATCAATCTCCAATTGTACAATTTGAGCCATAAATCGAACCCAATATGTACTAAAGCTTGGTGGATCTAATCCCATTCACATGGGCACATGTCCAATTAAGCTAGCAACTCTATTGTCGGATGAGATCTTATTAGAACAAAACAAAAGGTTATACTGCAACTTGTATTTTCTATCCACAATGGATGACATCATACAATCTATGTCCATCTGTTATATAATACAAAGAGACAAAGAAGTCTTTTAATTGACCATGAAGAAGAAAACTTAAAATTCAAGGAAAGGGGAGAAGAAGGGAATATGGAAATATGGAAATATGGAAACTAGAGCACATAAGAATGTGAGAATATGGGAACTAAGAAATATGGAAATAATGGAGCAAGGATAAAAAAAAAAGGATAGATGTGCCAAAGATTGCAATATCCAACGGCCAAGGTTTTTGCTAGTCTAACATGTAAGATAACTTGGATTTAATAAAAAGAGACAAAGAAGTCTTTTGATTGGTTGCAAAGAAAGAAACTTGCAAAACTTGGAGAATATAGAAACAAGAGAATATGAGAATGAAGGAATATTTGAATAAGAAAATGCAACAACATGAGAACTACGGAATATTAAAAAGTAGAAATAAGGAAGCATGAAAACTAACAAACATAGTAATGAAGAAGCATAGATGAAAACAACTTTCATAAATATATTACTTTCAAAGTAAAACAAGGATCTTATATATATATATATATATATATGCATATAATCTAAAAGTCTTTTTTTTAATTTATTTATTTATTAATAATTTTTTAATAAATTTATAAAATTTATGGTAGCCATAACAAAGGCACAATAAAGAAAAAATTGACATTGCTTGATCTGCATCAACACTTGATGCAACATCCCTAAGAAGAAGATTTTTTGCACTTAATGTAGCTTACATCTAATGCCTTGCTTGACTACTTCTTGTACTAATATATTGATCTTTCTTTAGCTTCAATCCTCTAAGTGTTGAGTTTGGTGCTCTCATATTTGCATTATGCTTGAACCCAGTCTTGACTCTAATAACACAAGGTTCTCTATGGAGGTTGTTATGTTAAAGTCCACCATATTTAGAAAAGCCTTGGATTCTAGCTAATATCCAAACTAAACAACAAACTTATATTTTAAATATGAATGCATAATAAGACCTACGGAATATAAGTTGGACAAGCTTTGCCATATGAATTGATTAATTAGAGTGAGTTTTAAATATTGAGATTGCATGTAGATTTATTCATTGGATTTAAAGCATGTATTTAGAACTTGTTTTTGCATGAAGATAGTAGAGGTCTTAAAATCACACCATGAAACTATGCAATGTTGAGAATTATAGATTATTCTTTACTTGCACCAAAAATAACATCTTAATGCATGTAGTGTCAAAATTTTCTTCTTGTACAAAGTTAATTGGTATAATCAATGAATGGAGATGATGCTCTTTTCTTTAGGATTTGTTCTAGGTTTTGTTATGATCACTATTACATTGCAATATCATTTATTTAATTATTTATTTCTTTGATGAATTTAAACATTGTTTCTTACATATGGTAATATTCCATACAAATAAAAGAAAAAATACCATCAAACATACATCCAACAAAGAATATATATATATATATATATATATCAAAAATTCATATAGGACCAAAATTCTTTGCCATGCTTATTTACCTAGGTACCTCAAAGGCATTGATGTTCATAAGATATATTTAAGATGCATTATTTCATAAGGATAAAACATGTTTATATTCAATAATAATACAAAAAATAAATAGAAAGTTTATTTTTTTCACCCACTTAGGTTTAGAATCTAATATTGTATTTATAATGAGAATCTTAATTATCTCAATTATATCAAAGTTTCCATCATTTTTTCTACTTCTTTCTATTTTTTTAATGGCAAAGAATAGGTAGCAACCTTGAGCATAAGCAACTTGCATCTTTTGAATTCTAACCCTATACTATGACTAATATGTATAGAATGCATTTATTCACTCTCATGACACATCAAGCAATAACTAGCTCCTTAAATACTTCTAATTGATAGACATCTATTAAACATGACATCTTTTTAGAGAATATTAATAGATATCATATCTAATATCATATCTAACTTATTATTAATATGATAGTAGTGTTAAAGAAGGTGACAACTCAATTGCATCTAAACATGATAATTATATTTGAAGTAGGTCTTTATCTTAGAGTCAAGTCTAAAATTGAACTATATTGTTATTAAATCAAATTTCTAGGAAGAAAGTATATCTAAAGTCATGTTTGAATTAGACAATATGACATAAGAAAGACATATAAAAATGGTATACACAAAAGAAAACTTTGTATATTTTATTTTTCAACTAAGAATCACAAAATCAAGCTCTAAGTGTCAATTTCACCAATCAAGCTTAACATGGTCAAAATTTGGTGTTGTAGAAAGAAAAAATGCAAGATGTGCTCAATGACAATCTAATAATCATGTTTAACCAAAATCAAACTATACAATTTGAGCCATAAATCAAATCACACATATACTAAAACTTTGTAGATCAAATCCCATTTACATGGGCACGTAATCAACTCAACTAGCGATCCTACTATTAAATGAAATTTCATTAGAATTCAAGAGAGTTTTGCATTGTAGATTGCAATTTGCATCTACAATAAATGATTTCATATAGTCTTAATCCATCTTTTATACAAGACATCTTGGATATAGCATCTTGGATATAAGAAACAAAGAAGTCTTTTGATTGGCCATGAAGAAGGGAATTTAGAAAACTTGGGGAATACAAGAAATAAGAGAATTTTTTATAACATCGGAATATGGGAATGCAAAAGCATGAATGAACAAGAAAATGTATGAATGTACCAAAGATTGTAATGTCCAACAATACATGTTTTTGCTAGTCTACTTTAAAATACAACTTGGGTATAATACAAAAAAGCAAAAAAGTCTTTTGATTGGTTGTGAAGAAAGAAATGCAAGGAAAGCAGGGATGCAAGAGATTGTTATGTCTTACCTCATACGTTTCTGCTAGTCTATTATATGAAACAACTTGGGTATAAGACAAAAGAGCATTATCATTGGCCAAACATGAGAATCCTTTCTAAAATAAACGGGAGGAGGAAACATTTAGAACAATACCGACAGTGCAATGCTGAGAGTCGCACCATGAAATTGAGCAATGATGAGAACTAGCGAGACGGCGCTTTATTCTTCACTTGCACCAGTAATAACAGAATCTTCATGTATGTGGTGTCAGAATTTTCGAAGTAAATATCTACGCGGCGGCTTAATGATGTCGTGTGCCCAACAACAACCGTGAACAGATGCCAGAGTTGCACGTTGACGACGCAAGGTCTTACAAAATCTGTGCGACCGGGGCACCAGAGCATGAAGTGCGTGTTCTCAGCCTAAGTTAGCATATAAACTCCACAGGGCAACTCTAAAATTCAATGTTTTGTGACACTTGCAGTAGGCGAATTCCTTCTTTGGACATTGTACAGCTCGCTCCTATAAGAATAGAACATCGTCAATTACTCTCTCAAGGAGCAGCAATGGTGAAAATTCTACTTAACGAGGACAACTTCGGATACGGATCCGAGATTTTCATTCCCAATGTTATTTCCTGTGGCGCTGTGGCCGTCAAGACCAAGAACGGCTTCATAGGGTTTCACTTCTTCCCGACCACAACCAGAGAACAGATCGTCGCTGCCATGAATTACGCAGCAAAAACGCTCCTCCCTGTCGCCGGCTCGGTGGAAGCTACGGCCTTCTTTGTGGACAAAAATGTATTTGGAACGGACAACGTTAACATCGTCAGGGACTCTTTTAAGGCTGCTTTCAAAGTAGACCTCAAAGTCGTCGCAAAACCAGCGGATGTGATGGCATATTCAGCAGATCTGTGGCTTCACGCGCCCGTAGACACCAAAGGCACCAGCTCTTGGTTAGGAGTGCGGAAACACACGAATGTCAAGCCGGTGACACAGCAAATTCTCAATCCACAGGTGTTGAAAATCAAGAATGACGGCGGAATTGAGAAGGCAGCCATCCAGCAATCACCGGGTGACGTTGGAAACGAGGACTACAGGGGCACACATATGCATGTTGAAGTGTGAGAGAAGACATCGTGGTTACAATCTTTGGTATCTCAGCACAAGATATGCCAGATGGAAGCTACCTTGACTTCCCATCAGTGCCGATTCTGCGCTGCAATTTTTATATATCCTAGTTGCTAATACGTTCGAGAACCAATATCATGTGCAAGCTTTCACTGTAATGCACTCGAGGTGTGTAAAATCGCCGACCTGGAGAGGACAAATGCTGCTCTTGAGAGGTTTCTGCATTGTGAGTGCCTCCACTTGAACTAAGAGACGCCCTGAGCATTCTCTCTGTCGTTGGGTCAATAGAATAAAAATGATATCCTGATGCATTGTTCTGTTCAAGCTCTCCGTGGCTCCCAGAACCGATATGTTCAGAGTTGCTGTAATCAGATACATTCTCGCTCAATAAAAGCTCGCACTAGTTGCCTTTCCGCACATCTGCGTACAATTTATAACAAGTTTGGTGTTGGCATCTTTCTCGTTAACAAAGTCTGGAAGTGCTGCAAATGCGAGCATTGGTACATCGAGAGTTGAAATGAGTTGCGTTTTGTCGTCTCCATCATGTCTAGCTGTTCATCAAAATTCCCAGGAACATCTGAAGAATCACACCGTTTATGAATGGCATTGCAAATTACATAGAACATCGAGCTGCGTTTACTCCAAAAAACGTAAGAAAAAGTAGAAATCGCATTTTAGAAAAAACCCAGAGTGGAATCTTCTACAGTGCTCATTCTACATCATCTACTTGCAAGTTTGCGGAGCAGATCGACAGCAACTTGCGGCCGAGGTTCTGAGAATGTTGAATTCGCATGAGGGATCGCAACTGCACTCATCTCTGTCACCATCAATGTTACAGTTAAAAGACCTCATGGGGTCCTCGATTTACACTAGGTCGTAGTGATTAACTTATTTCGAGTGTGAGCTTCTCTAGAGATCCCTTGTCCATGAGTATACTTGAACTGCACCTTGTTCTATCCAATTTCACTACTATTTACTAGCAGATTGTCTGGTTAGAATGGGTCACACCTGAGGGCTTGACTGTTGCAACAGATTACGATAGTGGAGTTTTTTTCGGACCAGATTATGATAGACAGATTGAAAGTGGATCAGCTTGGTGCAAAGTTTCGTCTATTGGCGGCAAGGAAATAAATATTGGCGCTCGACCCAGCTGCAAAGGGACAAGTGAGACAATGTAAGAATACACATGTTGATGGGAGAGATGTATGAGACTGCAAAAGCGTCAAATTGAACTGTTGTTTAAATAAGGTGAAATCCTTTTATTAAATACTATGAAATATTATATAAATAAATAAATAAATAAATAAATAAATAAATACATATTCCCAATCTTAGTATTTGAACTATATTATATAATACAGCTCCCACTACAATAAAAGAATTGGAGCTATTAAACAATAAAATATAAATTTTGAATATCAAAATAACAATAATAATAATAATAATAATAATAACAACAGTATTTATTATTATTATTATTATTATTATTATTTTTATTGTAATTTAAAAGTTTCAGGCGCCTAAGGATTGTGTTCTCATTTGAATCCGAGATTTGTTACCAGCGTGTTTTTTTTCACTCGGCTGCTTGGCCAACTGCTTGTTCAAACGAGCTTTTTCATTCATAACGCAACAAATGTTCTAGAACATGGTACTGATGGGGAGCCTGTGGTGCGCAGATTGGATTACCCAGGTGTTGGTCCAGAGCACAGTTTCCTGAAGGATGTTGGTCGAGCAGAGTACTTCAGCGTGACTGATGATGAAGCCCTGGAAGGTAAGAAGAACACTGCAGTAGAATTTCACTTCAAATTCGTCATCTCGTTGTTTTGAGCTTTCTCATGCTTCTAGGTAAGGTCAATTGCAGCAGTTCCTGATTACATATCATTAGTCTCAAAAGTTTAGAGGTTCCGCGGCATTCATCATGGAGACACTGTATGGGTTATAAACACTTCCAAGTTTGTGTTCTCTCATCAGCTACCTTGCTAACGGTACTGTCGCTCTTTTTTGTTGCCAATGCAGCATTCCAGAGGTTGTCCAAGCTGGAGGGTATCATTCCGGCACTGGAGACATCTCATGCCCTAGCTTTCTTGGAAAAACTTTGCCCTACACTTGAAGACGGTACCCGAGTGGTCCTCAATTGCAGTGGTCGTGGTGACAAGGATGTCAACAGCGTCATTGGTTACTTGAAAGGAAAGTACTGAATCTCAGTATGAAGATTGTGGGGAATGTCTCACTTCAATTATTGTCATTCCACGTTTTTTTGCAATGAGTTTTTCCAGCCTCTTTAAGAATTGGTAAGGCAGAGAAGATGTCTCGTCTTTGCGGGCCATTGTTGTAATCGAGAGCAGTGCATTATCTGCGCTGAACAGATATCAGTCTGGAGGTATTTAGGTTTAATACACAGAACATGGAGTTCTTTTATATCCTTTTTCTGCCTTAAGGAGCATTCACTTGAAGAATGTTGTTGCTGCAGTGGTTCACAATGCCTTACAAAGATATTGAAGCTGCCCCCCTTATCCACGTAGTTGTGCATGTGTTGCTGGCTACATGCGCCAGTTCACAATTGACTACAACCTCCTTTTCCAGAGAAACAGAGCTAAGAGCTATGGAAGCACATACGAGTGGTTTCTTAACATGGAATATATATACATATATATATGTGTGTGTGTGTGTGTAATGTGTGTGTGTGTCCTTCAAAAGGTTCATTATATATAAATAGAGACGTTACTGGGGTTGATACAAGTCATTAATGGCATCCTAAACAATATAATTCTAGACATTACCAACTTTAATGCATAACAATCTTAGTTGTCACCACAAGATTTCAATGTAAATTGTTTCAATGTACAAGTGTTTTGGCAATACACAAAAATGGTGATCAGCACTATATGTAATTACCCATTGCTGGAATTATTTATAATATTGCTCACACTGATTTGGCAAGGTAGCGGAACAATTTGTGTTTTATCATCATGTATTCTTGCATTGTTTCTAATTTTCTTGTCGATAATACAAAATGTAGCCCACAGTAACTGCTGGTAAATAACGATTTTACATTTTTCCTTCCTTGAACTATTCGCCCAGCAAGTGAGTCATCGCTAGTTTCGCAACACACAGCAATTAATGAAGCGAAAGGTTCCGCACCGACTCTTCCAACACCAACGCCTCCGCCGTGGAAGAGAAATGCGGCCGTGGCTCCAAGTTCCCCGACGCGATCCTATGCGTCGATGCATCTGTGACCTCTTTTATCTTCTCCAAAACGCTTCGATACAAATTCCAATGCATACACCCTGCAGCGATAGCCGGCATCCCAATCGGATGCATTCTCACAAACTCTCGCACATCCGCCGCATTTCGCAGATGCGTCAAATACCCCACCAATCCCTCTGCCAAGAAATTATCCTGCTCATTGTAGGTGTACGGTTTCAAGAAAATTGCCGTGTGAGGAGGATTGAGTAGCGCTTTATAGGGAGTGTCATCAATAAGGAGAGTGTTGGTCTCATTAAATTCGCCGTCAGGGAATCTCGACCAAACTTTCGCGAGCTCCTTCAGAAACAGCGGCTGGCGTCTGTTCGTAGGATTCTTAAACCCCGTGGCGGTGCAATCGCCTTGATGCATGACGAACATTACCTTGTGCTGCAAACCCTCACCGATGTAGTCAAGGATCTTGCGCACGTTGGCCTCCATCCTGGAAGACCACACGCCGACGTGGAAATTCTCGAAGCAAAAATCGATGAAGGCGATGCAGAACGGCCGCTTGAATACATAGTTCATCCCCACCAATGCTCCGGTCTAACTTCTTGTGGCAGGCCACCAAGATACCGTTCAAGTCGAGGATCAAGAGCTTCTTCCTCGCCGGCGTGCCGAGCCTCCACGCTTGCGCCAATGAAGCCCGGTTCTCCTCCAATGCACTGCTAGAAGCATAGTTTCCATTCGCAGTATCCAAAGGTTGCAATTCTTCCTCTGCTTTAGCAACTGTTTCGCAAGACCCGGAGCTTTCCTCACCACGTCCACGAAGGACATCTCTTACAGCGGCAGCGCTGGCCTCGCTATTCTCCATGTCATTAGCGACACCATCTGGAGGTTCAGCAGCGAAAGGAGAGATGACGATTACAAAAGTTTCTAGGGTTTGAAGATTGAAGGAACAACACAGGAATGCAATCCATGGCGCAATGGGGCGAAGGAGAGTTACGCACCTTGAAGAGCAGGAGGAGGAGGCTTCATGGTTGGGCCTTCTGAGCAGGGGGGTGTGTTGGACGTTGCGATTCCAGGGCAGGGTGACTTCAATGTGAACCCCTCTTTTTACCACGACCGTGCCCTAGCAGGAGGAGGAGGCTTCATGGTTGGGCCTTCTGAGCAGGGGGGTGTGTTGGACAAACTGAAACAAAGATGGGTTGCTTCAGGTTGTTGAGTTTGCTGCTCGTTTGTAGACATGCTCGACTTTTTTAAAATCCTTTCGCCTCAAACGCAAGGAGCTTGCAGAATTTGCTGAACCATTTGTGCGGAACATACAAGATCTGCTACCATTGAATGTCGCAAACCATGCCCTGACCAAGCTTGGGGCAAAAGCAACATACATGGCTTCTTGGAAGAGTTGTGAGTTGAGCCAAAAGCATTTGGTAAAGGACTCTACCTTGGGTTTCAAAAGCTTGTGCCATTACTTATGAGATTGGCTGCAACAAATCCTAGTAGCATGACTACATTTGACAAAGAATAATTGGCAATAGTGTGTCGAACCTCAATGATCTAGATGGAGAAGGTTACCTTATTCATATTGCTTCAAAGATTGTTTCTATTGAAAATAATGAAAATTGGACATGGTATTTTTACTATCTAGTAAGTATCTTAAACTTTGCAAGCCTCACATTTATTTATCAGAGATTGCAAGGTGTGTAAATTTTTGATGTTCAATCTCACATTTGATTTTGCATTTAATTTTGCATTGACAACAGTGATATGTCTAAGGAGTTCAGAATGGGAATGATGCAAATATTTTGTTTAAAAATCATTGTACTTGCATTTGGCACATCAAAAAGAACATAAAATGGCACTACAAAACAAAGTTGAATTGTAATATCTAGACAAAGGCATTGATCCTAGATACCTATGTAACTGCAATGGTAGATATCTACGAGATATATGTTGCTACATTTGAAAACCTTGTTGTTATTCCAAGTCAAAACTAGATTGTTAGTTTTGATAGGTCTCCACCATTTGGAGTCGTTATTTCAAACATGTCAAAGGCAACAAACTCTTGGATCCTTGATAAATGCCACATGGAACCTTTTGATGTCATTCTTTAGATTATTCAAAAAATTGAAGGCCTTTTCTACAATCAACATACCAATTATGTAGCCATCCCAATACACATTTTTTCTAAAATCACCTCAAATACATAGTATCTACAAGCTGCTCTGAACGAAGTTTTGCCGTCGCTCACAACTCCAGAGCGCTATTGAACAAAAACATACTTCACCAGTTCAGCCACCTGAATTTAGCATCTTTAGGTCGTGTGCACATTTTGCACACAAACAATGCTTCACTTGCATGAAGGAAAAAAAAAAGAATAAAACTTTGTTGAAGTGGCTCTTCTCGTGTTCTGATAGTTGGATCAGAACCAAGTCATTCAAAACCTGAAAAATTACCCAGCGATACATCAAATATAGCATATCTGAAGATATTTCTTGTGTAGAAAATGTCCCGCGTCCACTTGGCCACACATCTTTGTGGTCATAAAAATAGGGCAGAGGGAGCTTCGCCTAGTAAAAGATGAGTGTGCCTGCACCCCGGATAATAGGATACCTCCTAGTTCTATGAATTAAACTGATTTGTTGTCCTACTAGAACATTTAAGTTCAACCAGAGTAAAACTTTGGATTATGTTGAGATCATTAAATGTAGCCGACGCTCTCTATAATATTTACTATAGACTACAGTAATTACTGTAGCTACAGTATTTAGAGTCTAATAGAGAAGTATTGTTCATCCTCTTATCTTCGAGGATGTACGAGACACAACTAGATCAATAGATTTTTGTGTGTGTGAAGCTCTCTCTCCTTAGAAACCCTCTTGTGTGTATGACTTACTACTACTCTTGTGTATGTATGACTAACTATTACTCTTGTGTCTTTCTAAACATTCTCAACACGTTATCAGCACGATTCTCTTCTACACACTATCACAATTATTTTTTGCTCTAGTCTTTGACTCTTCAAACCTGTTGCTACCCTTGATTAGTGTCTAGGTCATGGTCCTGTTCTTCTTGCTGGCCCTTCACACATTAGCTGCTCCACTCTCTACCTTGCTTGCTCTGAATACTTGATCCAACTCAACTCCACCCTCTGCTTGTTCCTTGCTCCCTGCTGCGCCCCGAACTGTCGCCAAACTGCCGCCAAACAGATGCCGAATCCGTCGCTGCCACCCTGTCGTCGCTGCCACCGCCGCCCCCGTCGCCGTTGTCCGCTACTGTCCATCGTTGCCACCCACCATTGCCCGCCGTTGCCAGCTGCTGCTGTTTGTCGTTGCCCGCCGCCGCCCGCCGCTACCTGCCGCTGCCACCTTGCCGCCCTACCACTACCTGCTGCCGCCATTTTATTGCTATTTTGCTGCCTTAATCTACAACTCTTTTTTCTTAAAAAAAATAAAAAAAAATTATATATTTTATTTTTTTCATGTTCAAGTTTATCATTTTATTTGACTTTATATTTTAAGGTACGTTTTACTCAACTTTTCTACTTGATCTTATATTTTCTTTACAGATTTATTTATAATGAGTGCTTCAACATCTTCAACTGCTTCTACTATGGTTCCTACTATTACCAGTGCATCCCAACATTTTCAAGCTCTTTTATTTCCACCATTGACTGTGGATGGAAACAATTATCTATTATGGATAAAAATGCCAAAAGCAAATTTATTTGCAGAACAATTCTCGGATGCCATTATGTTTGAAGAATCTCCTACAACAAGTATTTCTATATCTCCTGCTATTCATTGGAAAGCACTTCTTCTCCTTCGTCGTCATCTTGTACCCGCATTACAACATCAATATTTGGAAATAGAAGACCTTGTAGAACTTTGGAAGAATCTTAAATCTAGGTTTGATCATCAAAAGACCATTTTTCTTCCACGTGCACATCACAATTGGACACATTTACATGTCTTGGATTTTCCAAATTTAAATGCTTTCAATAGTAAAATGTATTGTATTGTCTTACAATTACGATTATGTGGACAAAGCATTTCTGAAGAAGAAATGATTGAGAAAACTCTCTCTACATTTCCTCTTGCATCTGTTGTGTTTACACAACAATACATGAACATGAAATTTCAGAGTCATTCTGATCTCATGTCCTATCTACTTCTTGCGAAGAAGCAAAATGAGCTATTCTTGCACAATGCGGAAGCTCGTCCTATTGGAACTACGATTCCTGAATCTCATGCACTTAATATTTCAAAGTCTAAGAAGAAATTATATAAACATGGAAAATGTGCTCATAAGTATCAGGGTAGTCATAGTCAAGACCATTTCTATCCATATGGAAAGAATAAATATTCTACTATTAATTATAGTAAAAAACAAAAATCAGAGATGCATTCTTGCCATAAGTGTGGAATGATTGGATATTTAGCACATGCATGCCGTATTTTAAAATATTTTATTAAAATGTTCCAAGAAAATAAGAAATTACGAGCTGAGGCTCGTGAAGTTCATACCATAGATGCGTCCATGGATTCAATTGGTGTTGATGATTTAGAGGCTTATATGACTGATAGAACCTCTAATGATGAATCAAATGATGCGCTCATTGATTCTGCAACAACACATACTATCTTGCAAGATAGACGATTTTTTATTGAAAAATCTTCAACTTGGCAAACTAAAAATTTGATGACCATGGCTAGAACAAATGCATTTTGTTTCCAAGAGGGCAGAGAGATGGTAAAATTACTTACAGATTCCATCATAAAATGTAAACATGCGATGTTTACACCCTTAGCACCTCGAAGTTTGATCAGCTATCGAGATGTGCGTATTAATGGTTATCACCTCTCGACCGCCACTTTAAATAGAAAAGAAGTTTTGGTTCTTACGAAGAAGCATAAAGTTGTTGAAAAAGCTTTTGCTACAGAAAATGGTTTATACCGAATTGTGATTCGGCCTCCCATTACATTTAATTTTGCATCATCTATCTTAGAGAGTTGTGTTTCTCTTTGGCATGGACGATTGGAACATCCACGATCCACATTATTTAGAAAGATCATTCCATGTATAACTGGACACAATTTAAAGCCTATAGATATAGACTTTATGGAATTATGTCGTGCATGCATGCGAGGTAAAATGATTACTCAACCTTCAATTTGAAAACTTCCACAAGAATTACCACCAATGCTTGAAAGTTTACATGATGATATTTGTGGTCCTATTAATCCAATATCAGAACCATTTCGTTATTTTTTGGTCCTTGTTGATGCATCAGGTAAACAATCACATGTTTCATTATTATCAACTTGAAACATGGTGTTTGCTAATCTTATATCTATACTTATTTGCTTTCGGGCACATTTTCCTGATTATCCTATAAAAACATTGCGTATGGATAATGCAAAAGAATTTGCATCAAAATCTTTTGAAGACTATTGTACTGCAACAGGAATCGAGTTGACATATTGTGTTCCATATGAACATGCTCAAAATAGACTTGCAGAGTCATTTATAAAGCGTATACAACTCATTACACAACCACTCCTCCTTCACGCAAATCTACCTACATCTATGTGAGATCATGCAGTTTTACATGCTGCAGCA